TTTTCTCCGTTTTCCTTCGCTTTTCATCATTTTTGCTCAAATTTTCGTGGTAATTTATCGAAAAAAAAAATCAATTTAATAATTTTTGTAATGTTTTATTGCCTGTTCGAACAATTTTCAAAAGAAAATAGCTCATTTTGGGCGAATTTTTGGGATTTTCGAATTTTGTGGGAAATATCTAAATTGTGATTGTTTCCTTCAATCAATGATCTAGAAAATTATTTAAAAATGAGAAAAATTTAAATTACCGCGAAAATTGAGGAAAATTGAAAAAAATTGGGAAAAAGACGAAGGAATATTGAGAAACAAAGGGAATTGAAAAAAAATTAAGAAATAAAATTGAGAAAAATTGGAAGTGAGGAAAGTATCGACTGGCATCAAAATCCGTTTGGCATTAGAATCGACTGGCATTAAAATCCGACTGGCATTAAAATCCGTTAAAGTTCTGATATTCTAAGAATTCTGAAGTTCTGAAATTCTGAGATTTTGAACTTCTGAAATTCTGAGATTTCGAAGTTCTGAAATTCGGAAATTCTCAGATTCTCAGATTCTGAAGTTCCGAAATTTTCAGATTCTCAGACTCTGAAGTTCCGAAATTCTCAGATTCCGAATTCTGAGATTTTCAAGCTCTGAAATTCAGGAATTCAGAAACTTCGTCAAAAAAATTGTACCCCCGAATCACAAACGTTGTACCCCTACATGAAATAAGTTGTACCCCAGAATCATTGGTAGATTGTACCCCCGAATCGTTGTACCCCCGAATTTTTGTACCCACGAATTTTGTACCCACGAATCACCAATTTTGTACCCCTAAATCAGTTGTACCCTCTTGTACCCTCGAATTTTTTGCCTAATTTGATTTAGAAGTGTAAGCTTGAGAAAAAGAAAGAAAACTTACAAAATGTGCTGAATGCTAGAACGTGAAGGATCCCAAAACTTTTCGAAGAATTCGAAACGTCTTGTAGATTTGAAAATATTCGCCAGGCATTGTACGATGCAACGATGAAGACTTTCATCATATCTCCACTTGGCTTCTTCAATCAGGAAATGTAACATTTCGATTCGATGATCCATGTCCAAGTTAGGAACGTCTCTGTCGAAGAAAGCCAATTTTCCGATAAATTTTGCAATTCTTCCCAGAAAAAAATTTAATGCATATTTGCTGCCTTTCTTCAAAAACTTCAGGATAAGCTCGTCAAGAGAGCATTCTCTGATGATTTTCAATTTGTCATTGTGCGACATCTTTCTGTAAAAAACTGTTTGACGTAAAAAGCAAAATTACTGGCTTACTCAAAATAGGAATTCAAAATGTTGAAACATCTGACAAAGTTGTTGTTTCCCAATTCAATTTTTGCTTTGAGCGTTTCAACGGCTATTCCAACAATTGGGACCAGGTTTTCCGGTCCTTCGTTATGCACAAGCAACCTTCCTAAATTCGCCAGCGCGTAATGTGTGATTTTGCTCAACAAATTGGAGCCCGGCCTTAATTTCAACGGATATCTCTTGAGCAAAGATAACATCACATCCCTCAAAAGAGCTTGATTCAGCAAGCTCCACATTTCAATTGGCACAATGCTGAAAACATGAGGAACTGTCAATCAGAGTTTCGTTAAAAAAGGACAGTCATCCTTTATATTAATATCACAGAAACTGGTAATCAAAATTATTTTTATCAAAATAAGAATTATGTTTCCGCTCGAAAAAGAAATATCACTTACATGGTTAATTTGTTTAAAATTTTCATTGCATCCATCAAATCGTCGTTTTCCTGATCCTTTTCCACGACCACCATTTTTATGAAACTGATAACCCCGTCGAGGAGAAGTTGATGTTCTACCTCGGAGAGACTTTCTCTTCCATCAGTTCCATCATATTCCTCGCGGTAAGCTATTTGCTTCATTTCTTCAAGAAGAGTACTGAGAATTTCATCCCTCCGAGAGCTTCCAGGACTACTGATGACATACGTCAGAGAAACAGCGGTTTGCTCAATCGTGGAAATGGACAAGATTCTTGTTCCTCCCATTGTGGGCATTTGCGTTCTTGAAAGAGAAGTGCCTGAGAAAAATCATTGAAATTCTGTTGAGAAAAAATTGATACTCACTGATTAGATTAATTTCTCTTAAATGTGGATGGGTTTGAAGAATCGCTTGGAGACCCGCTTTGTCGATTTTACAATTTTCAATAGTGAGGACTGAGAGCTCCGATAATGGATTGTCGGATTTAATATAAGTTTCCAAATTGTTCGAAGATGGACCCTCGCTGCTGAAAAACGATTTTTTCTCGAAACTTGAGTTTAGAAAAATTTTGAGATTTCGAAAATTAATTCAGAAATAGAATTTACCTCTTCGCGCCATCAATATGAAGCGTTTGTAGAGTCTTCATTTTGCAAATCGCCTCTACATCACTCTCCTTCAATTCGGCACCCGAAACATCGAGGATTTCAAGTTTTTCAAAACTTTTAAGAAACTCGAAAGTGGGAATTTTCGAAAAAGAAAGATCCAGCTCAGTAATATTTTTGAGTAGGCTGCTATCCACGTTGAAATCGGTGTCATTTACTCGAATGTTGCTCAGTGTGAGAGAGCTGAGGTTTGTAAGCACATTCAGCATCTGAAATTCACCAGATTAGTTTGGTGGAACCATTTGATCTTCTCCTATTTGACAATAATCCTATTTTGGTATTTTTTAAATTAATGAATCACAGTGAAAAACTCCAATTAGCCAAGAATAAAATCTTACTCTTTTCACAAAATCTCTCTCGAAACGAGTTGTACGCGGCATTTTGATTGATAGTGTGTTCAATGATTGTTCACTTTCAGTAGAAATCAATTTGCGCAAAATTGGAATGAGTTTGACTTGGCTTTCCTTTGAACCTGAAACGATGATGTAAACACAGTTCTGATAATAATAAAAATGCAATAAAATTACCATCATCTGATTGCACTTCCTTCATATTGAAAAATGGTGAATCCATATTGGAAATAACCAAACTTGCGAGCTCTTGAGCAAAAATCACATCACAGAAGTGTTTGTTGAAGTTTTCGTTGTCAATCGTAACTTTATCGAATCTCAGTCCGCCGAATGTTCCAAAGTCTTCTTCAGAAGTAGCATTGTTTTTTGCTTCGAATGCTCCCTTCAGTTGCTTCGCAAATCGTTTTCCCATTCTTCCTGTGAAATGACGTCCCCCAATCACAGACTCTGCCATCTCTTTCGTGAAATTTCCATTGGATTGTTTTAAGACATCTTGGGAAATTTCGCTTTGGCTCATCTCCAAAACTCTGCTCATTTCGACAAGCTTATCTGCACCATATTCTTTTGCCAAAGCATGTTTCATATTTCCTAAAAACGGTTGATTGGAATTCTTAAGATTCATTTCTATAGCTTGGTAAACACTTTTCTAAAAATAATAATTTCGTACCGTTCAAGTAGAAGTTGGTGATTTTCTTAGTACAAAGTGCATCCAAACGCAACATTGTCGCTTGATTGATTATCTGAAAATGGGATATGGTTCGGTAATATGACAAAACAGATTTCAGAAAGAGTTACTTTTGAGAAGGAGAAAATAATTTAAAACCGATCAAAATATTTTCACTAATTTGTACGATCTTCTTATTGTTGTTGAAAAATTCATTGTTCTTCACGGGCATTCGAATCTCATGAGTTAGTATAAATAGCAGGTAAGGAGATTTACCGAAAAATCTTTTAGTCTGTTGGTATGCCTGTCTGTCTCGGACTTTAACTTAAGTAATTCAAAAGCACGTGAGACTTTTATAATGTATGCAATGTGTTATAAGCTACGGGCTTCTTGAGCCAGTTTGTTGGCTGAGAACGAAAAAAGTTTTCTTAAATCTTCAGAATTTTTGGAAATCATGTTTTTTCCAGAATTGACTCAAATTCCATGTAATTCTCTGGGAACGGTTGAACTCGTATATGATTATCCCTGATAACTGTGTAAATGTAACCTTCCCTATCAAAAGTTAGCGCATTTTCCTTAGCTCTCTTTTTCCTCTTATCTCTCATCTCTCATCATTTTCTGTACGCGTACCACACTACGTAGCATTGAAACAATCCCTGTCTGTTGCGTAATTTACGACTCGCGGCAGACACATCTTAGATTGGGTGGTGCGCTCGTCTTCGTGAATAAATCTCAATCAATATATGCAGATGGGACACACAATGTCCAATCTACCCGCACTGTGCAGACCTCCGTTCTACAAAACATTAATGGGATGGAGTGGGTGAGCACACTCAGGTGGTGGTGACATGTTAAAGCCAGATCATCTCAAAAAAAAAGCAGGTGCCTAATGTAGACTATGTTTACAGAAGGGATGGATAATAGTATAAACGCTCGCGTTGAATGTAAACTTATTTCAGAAATACACGGATAGTCACAAAATCAACGAAACATATTTTTCTAATTTTTAATGAAATATATTTACAAGAAACGCTGATTTCCGGAAACAAATTTTCATAAGAAATTATATGGTCATGTTTATTTTTTCGACACTGATTAGAAAAAACATATTTTGACCCTAAAAATTTATATGATTTTTTAAAAATATGTTCAATTCTGTTATACACAAAAATTCTATAGCAGAAAAAATTAGATCTGACGGATTTTTCCTCTGGAAAAACGGAATGACTCACAAAAAAATAGAAAATTGCTACCACTCCAAAAATTTTTTATGCGAATGATAATTGATACTTCTGAGAAAGTTATTCTATCAAATCCCGTCAAAATTTGTACGAAAAATGGAAATTAGGACACAGCAAAAAAAAGCGTGGTGGACCAAAGGCAGAACCAAAAAAACAATGTCATCTTCTCCCGATTACACCCTAAACCCTTCTTGAGTGTGCAACATTGCTGCTGGCAGCAGAACGTGAGGTATTAGGGTCTACGCGGATCTACAGAGAAGATAAACCAAAAGAAACGTGGCCTATTCAAGGCAGAGCAGACGAACGACGTTTTTTCCCAGATCACACCCCATACCCTCCTTGAGTGTGCGATTTGGTCTGTGGCAACATATGGATAAACAATTAAGTGAATCAAAAGGTTTCTTAGTGGAGTTAGATACGCAAAATGATCGAAATAGGTAACTAGTACAAGCGAAACCACGAAAAAATGCATATACCCTTCAATGACTTTTTTCAAAAGGAGCGCGATAAAGGTAGAGCAAACGTTCTGTCAGACGGAAAAGATAATTTGAATGAAATGTGAGAGCGTGCGCAAGGGATAGCGAGGAAACCCAGAAAGATCTCGTGCCCTGGCGACAAGTCAGGGTCTAAGTGAGAAAAGAGAAATTCTGATTATAAAACACGTTAAGAGGTGTTTTTTCTATCGAACTCATTTAAAGAAATGAGAAAATGTGATGTATATAAAGAAAATCGTGATACTGATTCACAAATTAAGTTATCAGAAAATCACCAATAAACCAGATATTTCAGATCCAAATACTTCCAATCGCAAGTTGTTTTAGATAAAAATATGATAGTTAATAAGGCAACACGCAGTGAAAATCAGGGCACACCAAAGGAAATATGGAGTGGAAATAGGACAGGCAAACGGTGTTATTTTCTCCTTCTGATGACACCCCCAGACCCCGTTCGTGTGCGCAACCTGGCCTGTGGCAACAGAAAGTAGGGTGTCAGGGTTCTCCATAAATCGACGGAGAGGCAGAAGGTGAGAAAAACGGTTAGAGGTGCGGGCAACACACTAGCAAAAACTACCCACGTCGTGTTGACCTCATGTTTGCCGGAAAAAAACCAAAGGGTACGATTGATGATGAGAAGGCTGGGTGAGATGATTGAAAAAGGGAAAAAACAGAATTCAAAAAATGTTCTCAGGAATGATGAAAAAAGAATAAACACCGTCGTTGGAAAAAATGATGAATAAAATCTATCAATCCTACAACACCAAATGGAAGGCAGGGTGTGGCTAAAAAAGGGCGGAGCAAAGGCAGAACAAACAAACAACGCCTTTTTACCTTCTAGATCACACCCCCAACCCCTTTTAGGTGTGCAACATGGCTAATGGCAACTAGTGGGGTATTAGGGTCTCCGTGGATCGAGGCATGGGGATATTCGAAAAAAATTCATTGGGAGAGATGAAAGTGCTTGCCCAGGGATGTCAAATAGTTTTTCAAAATATGGAATGAAAAAAAACAGACGCAAACTACCGTAAGAGCTGTGATGGAAGGGCCCCTAACTGTTCACTTTGAGTCAATTTATCTTGATTTCTGTGAGAGATATGAAACATTTCAACTAATGAATTGTTGATCATTATATCGCGAAATTTTTCAGTTGACACATTTTTGATATTGCACAAATGAGCCGAGAAAAATTAGCTCAACCTTGAGATTAAGGGTCTTACGGTTTGTTCTCAGAAATAATGAAATACTACAAACACCAATGCTACAATAAAATAATTTTCACAAAAATATTCTGTTGGAATTGATGACGTTTGCAACAAACTAGAAACATTATTTTCCGGAATCGAATCGAAAAAAAATTTTTTATGTCCTTGGATCACTAGTCAGTTGAGGAACGTTCTAGTAATAAGGCGGTTCAAAAACTGTATTTTACGCGAATTTTCATAAGTATGTAACCGTTCTATTCCGAACAACCAGTTCTCTGGTTTATCACATAATTAATCTATTTGAACTGGATATTTTCTATGTGACTTATTGAATTGAAACATTGGGAATTACAAGAAACCCCATTAATTTTCAAAAAAAAAAAACAAGATTTCTTGAAGTTTTCAGTTTTGCAGAATTTTTGTTAATTTTCAGAACGCAGCACATACATTGTCCCAAGTAGCAGTTTGCAAAGTTAAATAAAGTTTGAGCATGTTTCGATTCTCAACTTAGTAGGACAAGCGCCCACACACAAGATTGAAGGAATCAAAATATACGGACTCACTTCATTAGTAAGAAGCGAATTATTACTCTCAGTGTATCCAAAAATATCGTAGATCTACTTTTCGAACCACATGCCTACAGTATGGGCCTGCATAAACCACCAAATAAGAATTGTCCATTAAACTTACACTAACAACTTGATGAACCCGTTTTTTCCCATGTACCATCAAATACGAGCATTCAATTGAAGTCCCGAAGTGCCCTTCAAGCGGGGTCATAACGGTTCAAGTTTTAGAATCGAGAGTGCGAAACGGTATAACACATTTTTTTTATTCCCAGAAGGCAAAACAAAATTCCCAGAATGCAAAACAAGCAAATACGAGCTAAATTTCTGCGCGGCATCATTACCTTTGATGCGCCAAAGAAAAGAAACTGACTCATAGGAAAAAGACGTGTGGCCATGGCCGAGTTATTTCTTTAAGAGTTCAGAGAGGTAGATAACAACAAATGTGTTCAAGAAAGGAAACTATAACAATAACCAGTTATAGTTTCAAGACGAACATAAAGGAAGATAAGATAAGATAAAACGAAAAACTGACTGAACAAAAATGGGAATGAGTTGGTAAGATTATTGGGGCACATTCAAAATGGTGATGATCCATATTTCTCGCTAATCAGATATCATCAGCTGTTACTAAACTGACCAGAGAAAATAACAAACACGTCTAGTCTGCTAAAGTCCACTCGTGGACAAAACAGTGTAAACAGGAAGTGAACAAATGGAATTTGAATTCTAAAATGCGAATGACTCATAGCCGCGTATCGCTTGTGTACTTCTTTTCAAGGTTTCTCATTTTTTTCTCGTCAGCAACATTGGTATTAGAATTTTAGAAAAGACTTTCAGAAAATTAAAGATGACCGAAATTATGTATGATCGGTTGCACCAATCCAGTTAATCACACAATTGAAGGGAATATACAGTTTCAATGCAAAACATACATAATTTCAGCTTGCCTGGTTTACTGACTTTTTATTTTATCTTGGTTCCTTTTCTTCTGAATTCTTCATTTCGGGTTTGTTCTTCTAACTTCTTAGGCCCTCGGATTTTCAATATTTTGTTTCATTTTTTAAATTTTAATTATAAGTTATTTCATTTTTTACATTTTCAGTATTTACAAAAAATGGAGTTCAGTGAAAAAAGACTTACATTAAAAACAAGCTTCTAAAATTCCGGGCCGGGCCGGGCCTGAGAAAATTTGCAAAACCGGAGCCCGTTAGACCCGGTGTCAAAAATACTGCATTTTTAAGCCACATTTTGAGCTCCTTGTATAATTTTTCCCAAAATTTTTTGTTTTTTTTTCTAGTTCGTTTTTTTTTCGATCGAAAAAAAATTGAAAAATATTTTTGATCGATAAAAATAAAGTAAAGGTCCTAAAAATAGAAAAGAAACGCAATTTTCGGTTTAATCAAATAATTCAGCTGCTGCTCAATGAAGTACGATCATGAATGATATAAATCTTCTTACGTTTCAAATCGTCTCCAAAACGAATCAATCGGAAACCAACTGGCGAGCTTCCGCGCTTCTTACAGTTCACATGCGTTGTGCATTTACTGTAGTATGCGATACTTATCCTGACTTCTGTGATCTTGGAATTACTGGATCTACCTGAGCAACAGCCTGGGCAATTGAGGACAGCCTGAGCAATTGTTTTTATTCTGTGCGGAATGTTATTGAACAGTCTCATCCAACGTTCATCTTTAACACGTCTCAAGCGATAGTGATTCCGTATTCAACTACCTTCCCAGGCAGTTTTGACAGTAACTAACTATAAACTATTGCAGCTTACAAAGTTTTCTTGTTGGTAGGTTTTAGCAGTGATCTAAAAAACAAAAGAGATCACTTTTTTGTAACTCTGTTTCAAAATAGACAAACATTTTTGTTGGAATTGTATTGCATAGCATGTGAACTTTTTTCAGTTCACTTTCGGCATTTTCAGGAGTATGAACACTCGTCTGTCACATTTCCGATCACTTTGAAAATTTTACAATCAATCTTGATTGAAAATTTTTCTTTCGAGGAATTTTCTGAAAATTCCTAGTCCTTCAGCTACTTGCTAATTTCTGACAACCACATGTTTTTTTCCCTTTTTTTAGTACAAGAACGGCCTAAAAAGAAACGTCTTTCAAAAATCGGCGAATAGCTGAAAAAACACTGAACTTTAACAAATCTGTGAAGGTTTGATTCTAGGTATATTTTAAACCGTTCTGAGTTTTCAAAATGATCGGAAACTTGACGGTCGAGCGGCCCATACTCCCAGGGGGCATCGAAATAGAGGGCATTGTGCTCAAAGGGGGCATACACTCACAGGGGTCACTAACTCATAGGGGGCACCCTGAAGTTGTCTCTTATGGGGCATCCCACCATGTCTCATAGGGGGCATCGAATCTTTAAGAAAAAAGCCTGTTGATTTGTCTTACCTTGTTTAAGTTTTGCATGATGTTCAAATGAATCAAAACCGCATTACTTTTCGACCAACCCAATAATAAAGTAACTCCTAACTCTCAACTTTGAGGCAATTTATCTTGGTTTCTATGAAATATACCAGCAGGTTACTTTTCGATATTTTCCACACGAAGCGAAATATATGGATAATGGTTCACGATTTGGGAAGCATTCTATTAGAATGTTTACGATAGTATATTTTACTGGAATTCTTTAATAAAATTTTGTTTTTCAGATTTGAATGGTTTGATGAGAAAACAGTTGATGAGAACACAAAAGCGGGTCCAATTACCAGCCACAGATATGTCGTCAGAGAAACATAACCATGTGGCATCGGTTCTGATTCAAGAGGCGACTTTCCGATTTGGAGTATGGGATAAGACAGAGGAAGGGTTTTTGAAAATGTTGGAATAGTGAGCAGATTTTCAAAATCTCTATAAATTTGTGAAAATTTGATATTATCCTACATCATATTGTATTGTCTTTTTTTATCACACTGAAAAGTTCTGAATCTTGTTTCTTTTTGTTTTATATGATAAATATTGTCCTCGTATTTTTCATTGTTTTTATTGCTCTTTTTCAATCGTATACATGTTATTTATATTCCTGTCAAGTCTTCATTTTTGTGAAGAATACAACGTAAGAAACAGGGGAGCACAATTAATGAGAGTCAAAAACTATGATCGGTCAAGAATTGCCAGCAACACCCGACCAGTTCTTTTTTGTTGCAAATCAGCCCTGGTTGAAAACATCGTATGTAATGGGTCCAAAATTATGGTCGGCTAAAATCTATCAATAACATTCGACGTGTTATTTTCTTTCAGCTCTTGTAGGTGCAAAAAACGAACCCATTGAGGCAACAATAAGAATGGTCCTAAAAGGTAAGGAAATAATGCTATCGAACTAATCCACCTGTTTTCGAAGGACAAAAAATGGAAGGTAGACACACGATCTACGTGTTCTGGCCCTCCCTCCAGTTGCTCATGTGAGGTAGAACGTGCTAACCAGGGGTTGGTTTTGTGGGACACTAGAGACTGCTTATTGACTAGTCAAAGTCAATACACCCTCTTCGATTCGGACCCACCATTCTCTTTGCCTCCTCTGTGTCTTTTGGGTTATTCGCCACGTCAGAAGACACCTTTTTTCTTGATAAGTTGTCCTCTCTCTCTCTCTTTATGTCTTTCACTCGCTTTCCAATAATTGTTTTCTTCTCTGCAATCTGCTTTATATTTTCAGAACTGCAAAATGAAACTTTTCGAATATCCTTATTTGGTCCAGAGAGAGATTCTCCAAAACATCGATTATCAGAATCTATTTCTTCTTTCGTTTGTCTCGACGAAAATGAAGAAGTTGATCAAATTAACTCAAAGCAATAGATTCAAAAATATCAGATCTCTCAGATATACATGTAATGATACAAATAAACAACCGTTTGTTGATATTTCACCTAAGCAGGGTCGGAGAGAAGTTTTGATAAAAATTGTGGAACGCCAGACGACTAAAAATGATTATTTTCCGTTGAACGTATCTGGAAAAATTATTTATTTTAGGTGAGTTGCAATGAACAAGAAATTATTAAAATTATTTTTTCAGAATATCCGATAAATTCGAACCGCTTCTTGTAGCATCTTTTGAACCGGATGAGAGCAGATCTGTCATCGAATCGATTCACAATCATAATTTTCATCTATTCGGCAATTCTGTGGAGTATTTGTGGAGAACAGACGACTGTGAGAATATTATTCCGCAGCTCCAAAACATATTCGCTTGTGTTGAAGTTATGGATATTGACCCGGATTACGCCAACCTTGAACACTTTTTCTCAGAATCTCCAAACTTGAAATACATTATGTTTTACGCGTTGGGATACACAGAACCATTCAGTCCGAATTCTAAAGCCTATCAGGCAGAATGTGTTGAAGTAGTTCAACCCAATAGCACTATTCCTTTTGTTTTACGTCATTTTCAAGGGAAACAAGCAATTTTAAGATGCCGCGAATACGAAACTTCAGATTTGACAGAGTTTGTGAATAGATGGAAATCAGGAGAATCTTTTCAAACGTTGGAACACCTCAGTTGTAAACGTTACTCGAATGCTCTCCCCCAGAACGAAATTCTGAACGTAATTGGAGCAAAGCATATTGATGTTACCAAAACACCACCGACGTACACTGTGCCCAAAATGTGAGTTGTTTAATATTTTGTAAACACTCTAATAAAGTGACCCCAAACTATCAACTTTTCATCTCGGTTCCTATGAAAAACATTAAAAAGTAGTCAACTACTTTTCTTTTTTTTCTACACGCTTTGCTAGTTGAAGATTTTTGTAATGTTTCACATGGTGCTAGGATTAGGGATTCAAAGTACACGATTTGGAAAGCATTCCATTAGAGTGTTGATGATGTAGTTTTTAGGATAGCTTTTTAATAAAATGTTGTTCTCCAGATACTCATGGACAAACACAAACACAAACACGGGTACATTTTCCAGCCACATATATGTCGTCAGAGAATCAGATAATCATGTAGCATCCGTTCTGATTCAAGAGAAGGTATTCAGATTTGGAGTGTGGGACATGACAGAAGAAAAGTTTTTGAGAATGGTGGAATAGTTAGGAGTTTTTCGAAATAACTACCAATTCGTGGAAATTTTTATTTCATCTTACATCCTATCGTATTGTCTTTTTTGTCGTATTGCATAATGTTAAAATGTGTTTTCTCCTATTACCCACGATAATTACCTTTTTTTATTTCTTTATCTTTTTTTTACTTGTAATGAATCCCAATATATGTTTTTTTGTATTCCAATATCAAATCGTTGTTTTTGCAAACGAATGAAACGTGAAAAATATGCCTACAATGAGTCACAGTTCAAAACTGTGGTCAGCCAAAATCTATTAATGATATCCGATCTGTCGGAATAGTTCTGATTTTGTCCAGCCCTGCTTGACACAGTTAAATTGTGTGAATCAATGAAAAAAAACAAATGGGCTATTTTTTTCCAGATTTTCATGATATAGTCTAGTTTTTTTCTTGTGAAATTCATTTTTCCAAAGCTCTGCTATCTTTTTCCATGTAGAAAAATACATACGACGTCATATAAAAAACTGAATGCTTCTTCCAAATTTGTTTTCCGTTTCTCATAATCTTTTGAAATCTCAAAACAAAAAAAAACACAACAGAACAATTTGAACTTGGCCTGTGTGTGTTGTTCCGCATAATCTTTGGTTCTTTTTTGATGTTTGAACATTGAGTTCTTACTCTTTTTCTGTATGTTTTTGTTAAAAACGTCTAAATGGAATGGAGAAATTTCTAGGTGTGATTTTTTCTCGTTTCTCTTCTTGTTTTTTGTTTAAAGATTAATATGTAATCGTGGGCTTCTTGCGATTTAAAAAAGTGCTGGTTCCGGTATAACATATTTTCTCCTCGCATTTCAAAGAATATCTAAAGGAATTTTTTCTCCCTTTTCACCGGCAAATCAGGCAATAATAGCAAATCAATAGAGACACATGCCGTCCAAAAGTCTTTCTGTTTGGCGTCTGCGTTTCTGACACACATTTTATCTCTCACTCGTTTCACTTTATCCCGAACAATTTCGATCGCGTTTTCAGTTTCGTTGATGGCCAGTTCCAATGGTTTTTGGTTTATTTCACTTCACTTGGGTTGTTGCTTTGGGTTTCCTGCATTCTTAAACCGAATTCGTTAGAAATTTTGATTTCTTCTGGTTATTTTTTCCTCAAATTTAGAGTTTGAAGGTTGTTTCTCGTGTTATTACCTGACATTTTTCATGTAACCCTTGATTGATTCTTTTTCTCACACTTTCTCATGTCCATTCATATTTAATTATCGATTTTCAGTTTCTGACTCATCGATTTCGCAATATCCCAACGAGAGAGCACACTGCTCGTTGGCTCTCTCTCCCTTTCTTCTTTGTTATATACAACAGAAACTCAGTTCAGTTTGTTATACTCATGAGTTTAAAAATGTTGGTTTTGGCTCTTTTCGGTAAGAAATGAAGGAAGAATAAAGCAAAATGAGGATATATTTCTTTTAGGTCTCATCTCCACAGTGTCTGGAGCAAAATGGCCGAATACGACAACAATGATGACAACGACAGATGGAGCTGGAAAATCATCAATTTCAGGTTGGTCTGGTGCCTTATGAGAAAATAGTATGAGCAACAAAAAAAACTTTTTAAGCCAAAAATATGACTTCATAACTGAAATTTCATATTTCAGGAATGTGGGTGACATGCCACACATCGTTGGAAAACTGCTTGGAGGCGTGCTACATGAGCTGCTACATTACGGATTTGTGCAATGACGAGCCGGATATGGCCGCTTGTGCTCCAGGGTTGACACAGTAAGTTTCAGTAAAATTGGGAAGAAATAGTTTGGAGGAAAAAAGGAGAAACATTGTATCAAATGCATCAAAAATCGGTTCAGGGTGCTATAATATTATTAATTTGAACTGGGAAATTCAATTAAAGATTTTTTCAAGCTTCTACGTTTAAATTAGGAAATTTCTTTTACAAACATTTTGAGTTAACATCTCCGAGTTCAACGAATTTGAAAAACACCGTAAACACTAACAGAACGCCACCCAAACATTTGATTTTCAGACCATGTATCTCATTGTCTAAGAAAGATATCGGAAAGTGGTCAACAGATAAAATATTGAACAGAATATCACCAACATTTTATCAGTTGACAACATTTTGACATCTTTCACAGGGAATGAGATAAGCGAGCTCAAAGCAGAGGATCTGGGTGACGTTTTATTAAGGTGTTCGCAATAAGTCTTGTGGTATGAATTAAAATTTTTACTGAATTCGCACGGGATCAAAATTAGAAGTTTCAGGCTTTTTCGGTGTGAGAGTCTCTTTTGATATGGCGCCTGAATTTGAAATTCTATTTTTTGTTCTTTCCACTTTTTCGTTAGATACACAAAACACCGAAAAGTCAATAGTGATGACTAACTAAGCGGGAGCTCTGAGCTCACTGCTCATTCCCCTTCATTTCCGTATTTCTTACTGTACCTTGCTACCTCCTTACTGTCTTTCATCATGGATGATCCAACATTTGACAAAGTTAGTGACAAAATATTCCTATCTGGAATTGACTGTTTACTCCAACGAATGGGAACGGCTCGAAAGATCTACGAATGGTCAACTGATCATCAAGACTTGTGTACTGATGTGGATTGGACGTAAGGCTGTTATTTTTTTTCACTATTCAAAGTTCTGAGAATGAAGGAGGAAATAGAAGGGAAAAAAGAGTGAGCCCGTGTATTTCGCAATAGGGGAAATGCCCACGGGCTCGAAGCACATGGCATGACTCACTTGTTTCTGGGAAAGTGAATATCAGACAAACTCCGCCCATTTGTCAAAGTGGGAGTGAAAATAGAGGAGCCGAATTTGGTAGTAATACTAGTTGGACTCAATTCGACTCTAATATTTTCTTGTGTCCTTGAAATAATTGCCATCGGAGCGAGCGACCACTTAGAAAAACACTAGTAGGAAAGATTCCTAGAGAATTGTGTATGTACTGAGATCTTTCGAAATACTCTCTAGTTCAAATGTTCGTCCTTTCAACTCGAAAGTTTGGTCAATATTTTTTAGTTCTAGAGTTTTAGGATCACTGTAACTTTTTAAATATTCTCAGAAAATTTGTTTATTTTCTTCAATTAAGTTTACCTAAAACAGAATCGTCCAATTTTCATTTTAGCCTATCTCAAAATAAAATGATGCCCCATTTCCTCTTTTTTGGCTCATTACACTCAGTTGTTTTGTTCTCTGCCATTTCCTTTCTCGCTCCAATTCGTCTCTCACTTGCTCGTTGAAATCGATAGATTTGCCTGGCGCTCTGGCTCCTCAAATGGCTCCCGTCGTCCGGCTTGCGTGAAACACAGAGTGACAGAGTGCTCCTCATTTTTTTTCGTCTTCTCCCAACTTGCTCGTACCCTTTCCAAATCAAAGTTTTGTCTTATCAGAGTGCTGCCATGTCCGCTGGTGATCCGGCAATCTGGGAATCGGTGTTGGCACTCGATGTGTGGGCGATCCTAGTATGGGTATACGATCATCTGCCATTTGAGATCAAATCATACATTTGGTAAAAACTGGGAAATATTGTGGCATCACCTATATAAAAATTCGAAAAAAAAATAAAATTACAAAGATCAAGTATTAATTCATGAAATTGCATTTTTCAGGATGGTGATCCTCACTCTGCTGTTTGTCATCTTTTTGACAACGTGCTGTGGAGTCCTGTGCTTCTTTGCTCCATGCTGTTGTTGTGCAATCATTTACAAAGGATACCGTGCTCGCCAAGCTGGTCGGCGGAATCGCAACGAAGCGGACAATATTGCATATCCATCGGCCCCACCTCTTTTGGCAAAAGTTTGAATTTAATCGTGACTTGGTTAATCTTCTGATTCTCATCTCTCTTTTTTCCCTACAAATTCCCCTCGATTCTTCCGTTTCTTTGTTATCATTTGTAGCAATACAACTTACCTATTTGCTCCATCCATCTGAATAATTTTTCCCTCCACCAGAGATTCTCCCCATTCTCAGTTTTTGTCTTCTTCGCCACACTCCATCACGGGTGATTCCCGCCACTGTACAGATTCCAATCTTCGTCACATAATAAACTAGAATAGTTGACCTGGTTTATCAGAATAAAATTCCTAAAAACTCCACATTGCTAATTTTCAACAGAAAGTTTGTAAATTTCATGTCGTTATTTAGATAAACTGCGAAAAAGGCAACACGTTCCGCAAAAAAATCAAAGGATGGACCAATTTGACTGAAACTTTAGGGAGAAAACCGATACTTATTGTCAGTCGAAGAGTATTTGGTGTTTTTGCTGGTTACCTAAATACTCTAATGAATATTTGATTTATTGGTAATTTCAAGACATTTCCGTTAGTTTTCATAAATTTTGGTAAAAAATAAGAATTAAAAAGTACACCGTGAAAATTATCTGAATGTGAGCTGCTGCTCTATGAGCTAATTAAACATAGCAAAAATCAAAAACGAACTCTGCGTTCGGGGGGAACCGAACCCCCGTCGAATGCTTGGAAGGCATCCATGCTGACCATTACACCACGAACGCGCACGTTCTAACACTCTTATGTATTATATGAAGAGATGCTAAGGCAACAGTATTTCCATACATGGAAATGATTTAACAACATTTTTTGGAAACAGGTTTTTCATGGAACCCTCACGTTTTTGTCCAGGATTATCATCCCCGGCATCCTTTTTTCTGAAGAAAGCCAGCGTTCGTGGTGTAATGGTCAGCATGGATGCCTTCCAAGCATTCGACGGGGGTTCGATTCCCCCCGAATGCATGAATTTTTTGTGTGCGTGTTTTTTTTAAATCAGTGTGGTAATGGATGGTGTTCTCTTTATTCTTTTCATTATTTCCTTCTTTGTATGTTTGTTCCTTTCGTCCTAATCTACAAGACTAGACACAATCGACATTTGGCCTGGGTGACGTCATAAATCTGCATCTAGACTATCTGGTCGACCCCAACTGTATCGATTTACTGGTTTGGACAGCGTCCACCACACACCACACTCGATAAGCGTCTGTACGTTCGATGGTCCGCTCTTTGACCTAATTTTCTCTGCGTCTCTTCACACCATTATCTATCGTTGTTTCTTAGGCGCCTGTTCTCCTCCGTCGTATGCTATTGCGTGTCTTGGAAGATGAATCTTTTAACACACGGGATACAACGCGGCCCTCCACCCAACACAACGCAACACAGAACCGACCGACCGACCGTGTTTGCGTACACAGCAAACGCGCTCCGCTGGACTTATATTTTCGAACAAGACCATTTTCCACAAAAAATGATTGATTTCTTCTCCTAGTTTTTGTTTTTCGCGCTCAATGTCAAATAAATCAATAATTTTTGGTTTCAGATACAATTATGATTACTCGTCACGCTGGGAAAAGAAAACCAATCAATCAACCAATGAACAGAAACCATCCAAACGTCGAATCTTTGTCGAGTTTCATTATTATGGGACCCGATGATTTGTTGCCTGTGAAGACTGAAGAGGTTGGTGCTAGTCGGTTTTTATTTTATAAATTTGTATTTTTTTCAGGTTTTTAATGAAATTGCTCCATCAATGTCAGAAGAGACCAAACCGGAGAATTTATTGCCTGCGCACAGTAGAGTGGTGAGTTCTACGTGAATTGAAGTGAAAATCACGATAAACCTGCTCTTCAGCTCCCACATAATACTTCGCTAGCCCATCAAGCCTATCCGACTGAAGAAAAACCTGCTGAGATAAAAATGGTACACAAATTTTGCTCATCGTTGTCTTGATTGGCTTATTTTCAGAGCGGAGGAGAATTCTCCGCATCGACAAGTAACCTGATAAAAGAAGAAGATTACGAAGATTCAGCAGAATGGTTCAGGAGAAACGACGAAAAACTAATGGCTTATAGACGTGCTCAAGAAGCGGAATTTTTGGCAATGAACCCAGTTGAAGGCAGTATCCAGCCGAAAAGGAAAGAAACATCGATTAAAAAAGCGCCGACTCCTCTGAAAGCAGCAACCGTCAAACCAACTTACAATGTTGTGCAGAAGTATTTGATAATGGACAGAAAAAAAGAGTATTCGACTTTTCAAGGACCTTCTTCTTCCACAACGAAACTCTACGTTGCCAAACCTCTCAGAACACGAGATTCTTCTGAACCAGTGAGTTCTTCTGAAGAATTATTCAAAGATCCACCGCCACTCTATTATACAAAAGGACACCACTCTAAATACCGCGAACAAAATAAGAAGAGAGCTCGAAAAAATGAACTTTTTCACCAATCGAGAGGAAGGAATCCAACGAATATCGCCGATGTGGAGGGCGAATATCCAGTTAACCCTGCACACGTTCCGTGGAATCCTCCAAAAGGAGCTAGAAAACTCAGCGCATATCAAGCGAGGAAAACAAATGAGGCTTTAGCTGTGAACCGACGTGAAGAAATATCAAAAAAAGTGCCAACGCCTACTAGAAGAAATGTCCCATACCAGGGTCCAGCCTTGTTGGTGGGCTCAAATCAAAAGGTGTCTGCTGCTTCAGCTGCAAAAATGAGCAAGCTCAAAGATGTGTACCAAGTCAATCAAGAAGTAGACGCTATAGTCGATTACGGATACGGAACAATGGAAGATGAGATGGCTTACTATGACGTTCAACATGAGGAGACTCCAGAGTACAAGTATGTGCCTGCGGCCGATATGAATGCATATGAAGAAAAACCCAAGACGTTTGATATGGACGGTTTGACAGCTGAAGTCAAAGAAGAGGTAACATTTTGAGTGAAGCTTTTGAGACAAACTGACTTTTTCAGGAATTTTTGTACAACGAACCGACGTCTTCCGGAACCGCCTCATACAACAACGCATCACATCAAAGACATGGAATGCGATGATTTTTTCTCGAGCAAAGTCTATAAAAAAATATCCTGTGATTGTTATTATCGTTGTCATTGTTAGTTTATCTTGTTGGCATTATTTGTAATTTATTCAATATGAATTGATTTGTCAAATTGGTTTAATTTTTGAGCTGTTTTATCTTGTTTACTACCCATTATTGTTGGAGTGCCGCTGACAAAGGCTTGAAACAATCTGCCGGTAGGGAATCCCAGTTTCCAATAAATCTGTTAAAAAAGAATTGTGAAAAGGATTGTTTTGAAGTTTTGTTGAAGAGTTTCTAGGGATAATTTGATGTGAAACGAAATTCAAATTGGAATCAAGTGATTTTATGGTGACGGGTTTGCTATCTAAAAATAGACTTCTTGTTTTTTCATTTCAGTTTTTCAGAAAACTTGAAAACTGTAGAAAAAAAAGAATTCTGCGTTCGGGGGGAATCGAACCCCCGTCGAATGCTTGGAAGGCATCCATGCTGACCATTACACCACGAACGCGCACATTCTAACACTCTCCTGTATAATATTATATGAAGAGATGAGGAGAGAAAATGATTTCCATACAAAGAAATGATTCAACAACAAATCTCGGAAACAGGTTTTTCACAAAATCTTCACGTTTTCGTCGAGGATTATCTCCGATATTCTTTCTTCTAAAGACATCCAGCGTTCGTGGTGTAATGGTCAGCATGGATGCCTTCCAAGCATTCGACGGGGGTTCGATTCCCCCCGAACGCATGATTTTTTTGTTTTTTAGTAATCTACCAGCCTTAATTGTGGATTTTTGTTCTGCTTTGCAGTAAATGTTTGTGTTCTTCCTTAAAGATATCAATTCTTTCGAAAATTGCCAGTTTGGATCAGCAAACCTATCAAATGAAGCTCTATTTTAGAACAACATGAAGTTTCAGTGGTGTATTTTTTGAACCTATTTTTTCATCTGGTTTTTTAAGACAATACGATTTCTTGGTTACTGAAACTTTTCTGTTATGTTGTCATCTGCTAAATTGAGGCAGACAACGACATTCTTTCGTCCTTGAAAAGAGAACTGATGGTAAAATTTTAAGTAAAAAAGAAACAGAAAGATGTGAAAAGAGATAACGAGAATTTTCGCGCAGAATGGCATACAGGCTGCTAAACTCAAAATTTTGCTAGTTAGCATTTGTGTCCTGGTCATCAAAAAATTAAGATTTTTTGAATTCCAGTTTTTTAAATTTAGTCGTAGGTTAAATAATGAAGATCACGTGGTTTGATTTACCGAGGCTTATTATTCTCAAATCCCAATCTCGAAAAGGGAATCAAGTCAAGTTAGACAAGAACAGTATTTTGTCATCACAAGGTTTCGTGAATTTATTCTCTCCTTATATCTTCGAATAGTCTCTCTTGCAATATCCTGACTTTCGTGTGCTGTGTTTCTGTCAAAAATTGGAAATCAAAACCACATGTTTCTTTCCAACAAGCAATGTCATACATATTGTCCTTGTTCGTTCCTGGCATACATTGCGCCGAGTACCACTGCGTACCATGGCTTTTGTTTCGCAATATTCCCCTCCCATCAATCGATATGATTTGCATGAGACATTTAGATGTATATTTGTGCATTGCGAGATGCGATGCCCATCTATCTTCTTGGTTTTTTTCTGTGCATCCCATCTCTTCATCATCTCTACTGAGAGTCAATTTTTTTTTTCTTCGCAGCAGTTTTCTCTCTCCGTGCGCCGCGTTCTTTTTGAATGAAGAGAAGGAGTAGAAGAAGACGGCATGGCCTCCCAGACGCTCATTCGCAGCACAATAAGAAACCGACCAAGCGAAGAAAAAATATTTAGAAGAACAAAGAAAACGTGCTCCATGGAAACTCGCTTCTCCGACTACTTTTTTATGTTTTATTTGAACTCTCTCATGTCTTCGTTTTTTTTCTGTACAAGATTCAGATATTTCAGGCATGGACAGTAATAACCAACCTCCACCTTCCAAATTCGGTCTGAAAAATATGGTCATTAAAGAGGTAGCCTTTCCTTCAACTAATTCAAATTCGGGAATCCGAAGAAGCTTGTCATCGGAAAGAGACGTGAGTTTACAATATAGATGAGTCTGAAACTGTATTCCTCCGATTTACAGAGCAACAGTAGTACTCCACCACGAGAGGGTCATATTGGAAACTCACCACCACACGTCCAGAATTCGGTGATAAGTCTAGCACGTTTTTATGAAACGCTTTTGAACTTTTAGAACACCAGAGAAACAATGTCAAGTCTCCTATCAAATGTTCCCCATCCAATTCCTGCTTCAATGGAAAGAGAAATCAAATTGAAGATCAATAGAGAGCTATCAGAGGAAGGAAAGAGAGCACAAATGAGACTTGCACAAAGGACATCATCGATTGATCGTACCATTGAACGGAGATTGTCCAGAACTAGCAGTGATGAGGAAGATACAAGTGCTAGAATCAGAGATTATGTGCTCAATATGAACAGTTAGTATTTTGAGAACTACCGTACACCAACTTTATCACTTGCAGATCCTCTTCTGCCGTTCTCACAGTGCCTACTAGATCCAGAGTCATCAGGAAGTCTTGGCTCTCCCACTTTTTTTGCTAGTTCAAATAGGGTGGCAACGAAGAAAAATGGTAAGCCTCGACAAAAATATCATGAATATATTGTTTTTTATTACAGTAGCAGTCAACTCAAAAAGTCAACAATCTTCCACAAGTTCCTACTGGCTCAAGGAACACAATGGCTCAAGGATTAACGTGAATTCCATGAACTCAGGTTACTCTGTCTCGCCTATAGAGCAGGCAGCAGAAAGTACAATCAAGAGAAAGGGCGGAGAGCGTGCTCCCAGCAACAGACATGTTGTCCCTGGCAACGTTGGGTTCGCCGGTTTCTCTCCCACTCCATCAATGTCCGCCGCGGGCACATTGAAGAGCATGGCGGAGTGTGCTCGAGGTCTTCAAAAAGCTGCTGACTCCCAATTATCCAATTCTGCTGGAACCAGTGGACCGGAAGCAGCAAATCATTCGTTATCAGTGGGTGGTTCGCCGCATTTTACTCCTGTCACTATGCGACGAGTTGTTCCTGCTCCTCGAGAGCAAAGTAATATTCCGACTAGACAAATTTCAATGGTTCCTTCGCCGGTCAGTCCACTAATGCGAGTTCCGAACGGTACAACGGGACCATATCAAGGAGCCAGACGCGCACCACCATATCGTCGACCACAAATGTATGCTTTCAATGGAAATTCACCAGCTCCTGGCTTGAAGAGACCAGCTCAGTTCTCAACGCCAGAAAGTGAGTACATTCAATTTTCCGAAACAAAAAAGTCGTTTAAGGCTCCGGTCCGCCAGCAAAATTGATCATTCTGAATAATTCTGTACCTGCTGTTCCACAAAACCATCGGATCGTGAAAAAATACGCTATCGTCAGAAACCAGGAAAACCAAATCGTTGCATTGAAGCAACCTTCAACATCAACTCCAGTGACTCGCTCTTACAAAATTGCCCAAAACGGTAATTATCACTCACTCGTCGATTACAAAAATATAGGACTTTCAGGAAGAGTCAATGGTGCTCAGAACGGAACTTTCAAGCTGTCTCAACACCAGCCAAACCACGTGGTTCGTCTGAATAACAACATGATAGCAGTTAGAATTGTTAGGGATAACCATCAACAATCGCCAGAAAAGGTTCCAAGCACCTCTACAGCAATGGTTATCTTTCAATTTAATTTTGATCAACTAAGAAATCTAATTTTTAGAAGTCTACATCGCAGCTTTTCATATGGTCTTCAGAACAGAACACTTTCTTCGCAATCTTTGAAGGCTTTTCTGGTGTTAATGCTAAACAAAAACAAGATCGCATGAAAAAGTTTGAGAGACTGGTCCGAACGTTCCATGTCAAACAGTCAACAAGTCACTAGGAAACTGAAAAGAGAATTTCTTCCAAGAACCATGCCAAATCTAATTATATCCCCAAACGTAGGTTGGAAGTTATTCACAAACACAAAAACTAAACAATATCATTTTTTCAGGTTCCCAAAATGTGAAAAATCTACTTGCCATTCATCTAAAAACACATTGATCCCAAGGATATTTGCAATGTTTTTTTTTAAAACGTAGTTAATTCTGTACAAATCTCCCCCACTTACTTATGTTCCCTAATTTTACGCAATCGTTGCGATACTATACTTGGTTGTAGTGTGAATGCTAGGATTTACGCCGGTTTCTTCTTATGATGTACATTTTTAGTCGAATTTCTCGCTTTTTTTCTCATTCAAACTATATTTTTTTGGGTTCTGGTTCTGTTTTTAGAAGCTGAGAACAAATATATTTGCAGACAATTTTCCACATTTTAAAGCTACTTGAGCAATGAAGATTGAGGCTCCGACAAGCTCACTTCGCTACTTCTCCGTCGTTGAAAGTGCTATAATGCCCTAAAACGACTTATCACATCATTGTCAAATTCTTTCCGGTTGCTATCAATAAACCAATCAACTTGTTTTCTCCGTTTATCCGTCCACCACCACTCCACACAAACCTCTTGTGTGCGGTTCACGGACCATGGTGTCGTTGCACTCAATGCAGACCAATTGACGACACCTGCCTGCGTCTCTTGCAAAGTGCACATACTATCGTCGTTCCTTTTTTCCTGATGCTTTTGATGTGTTGTGGAAAAAAGGCGTTTTGTGCAAAACTCTCATCGTTTTCCACAGTCTTTACCGTTCCCATTTTGACATTTCGTCTCGTCCTCTTTCTCCCGATGTGCCGATACAATCTATGCATGTTTAGATGTCAATCGTGAGGGCACTATACGTGTCCGTCATGCGCCTCCTGCAATTGATTATTTCCTTCTTCCGGAGTTTGTGCAATGGAAATCGAAATAAGAAGCGAATGGAAATGGATGATGTGCCATTTGAAGGTATGTGAGCGTCTTAAAATTGTTTTCAGCTGGAAAATTCCTAGAAAATTCCAAGAAAATTGAAGCAAACCGGATAAAATCAATAAAAATCTTGAAAACTTGGCTTAAAACCCTCAAAGACTCACAAAAATCTTGCTCAAACTGAAAACGATTCGCAAAAATAAGGCACTTATCATTTTATCTCTTTTCAGTAGTCGTCGACAACATCCGAGGGGACAGAAAGGGCGAAGAACGTGCATCACTGCTACAAAATGAAGTTACCGACACGTGGGGCGACGACGACTGGGACAAGAAAGAAGAAGTGAATGACAAGATTGAGCAATGGAGAAATAACAACGCTCAGGTGAGTTGATCTGTTAATCAGTCAGAAGAAGAAAACTTGTCTACCGTTATGAGTGAAAATTGCGTGTCACGTGCTAGATGAGAGTAGAAGGTGTTTGTCAAATCGTGAGAAATTTGAGAAAGTCAAGCGAATGAATCATGAGTTTCGTTTAAAAAATATTTCTTGTGAAGACCAACATGTTCAAAAAAAAATTATACAAGGAAGGTTCTGTTGTTGGCCTATAAGTCAAGTTAAAAATTGAAACAAATGTGAAGAACTGCTACTAATATTCGAAAAATCACGTCCTGCGTCAAGCCGTGAAAGTTCGAAGAAAAACCCGGGCCGTTGTAAGTATTCTGCTAACTGACTACGCTTTTGTTTTCAGAAAACCGACACCCAACAGCCAAAGCCGGAAGACGACCTGTTCAGCACATTGGAGCCAACAATCACTAGCGCTAGAAAGGTGAGTATCGGAAATAAATTGAAAAAATGACGAAATTGATCTGGAAGTTACGTAAAGACATCAGATCTATCTGAATGAAATCACCAAAATGTTGAAAAAAAGTATAAACAAAAACTATTGGAACCATACTTGTCGACGAGCCGAATCCGCGTCGGCAAAAGCCATTTGACAACTCGCTTCAAAATTGGAAGTGTGGGCAACACATCATTAAGAATCGACAAGCATTCAGATCAGTGATCGGTGCTGGCCGACATTTGGCAGCCGGACCGGACAAAAATCGTCGACTAGGTTAAAAAGACCGGCAAAGACCATAATACCGCTGTCGATGTCGGTAGATTCTTATTGAAGTTTCTATAGCACTCTGAGCTCTATCATCTGGTATGATGTTTTGCTCACTATTTCAATTTTGAAGCAAGTTATCAGCCGGCCCACCGACAACTATGCTTGTAACGGATACCGATTGGCAGGAAGGAATGTTCCGATTTTGGAAATTTTGGAATATCAAAATTTCGAATTACGATTTTTAAAGTTTCCAAATTCCATTCTCTCATGACAAAAGCGCGAGAAATTGATGAAAATTTGACAGACAGATTTCGAAAACGCAAAAGAATTAAAAGTAATTTAGCTTGAGACACGCAACAGCGATTGTTCCGAAGAAACAATTTCTGATCAAAATTTGATTTTGAAAAACAACTTCGTAATATTCCGTTTGGAATTTTTGGGATTCAAAACTCTGTTCCAAACATCTCTGACATAATTGATGATTAATCAAAACTTTCTCAAAATGAAGTTTTTTGTTTTAGGTAGTCGTGGCACCACGTGGAGGACACAGTCAACCAGCTGCTCCTCAGAAAAACCGATTCGAGTTCAATGAATCGAATGTGGTGAGTATTTATTTTAAAAATCAATTATTTTATTAGTTTGGGACATTGGCTGAAAAAAGACAAAATAAGACAATTTATACATAATTATGAGGTACGCTGTTTTGTTTTCGTATAGATAACTAGTTTTCTTAGTTGCGGAGCTTTTTGTTCAGAAAATCGTCCTCGTTCTTGACCTCCGTTGGCGCTTCCGTCGTCGTGGCGCCAGTCGCATTAGCCTTATCAAGCTTTCCCTTGATAACGTTGAACCGCTTCTTCTCGAATTCGCTCATCTCCTAGAAAAACACTATAGTTAGCGAGTGATCTTATCTAACGTTAGCTGTGTACATCAATCTTGCAATGGTCTCTTTCGGATTGATATTGGCAGACTTCAATGGTCACATCAACACGGGAGCTTCCATCTCTCTCCATTTTCACGTCACTGAAACGAGAATTCTAATAGAAGCTAATGAAAATTTGGCAAACCGAATGTAGTGGTTTGGTGCCAATACTGGATTGGTTCTGATGGATGGACCAAGGACTGAGATGGATTCCGGGTCTCTCCAGATACACTTCTCACGACCGGTGCTGTCTGCAAACATGCAACATTTTGATTGCGTTAATCCGGGCTAGCTTCTCCACTACTCTTATTCACTTGTATTTTCACTACTCACCTGTCTCCACTCGAGTAGCCAATGAAGCGCAACACAAAACCATCAAGGATTTCGAATTGAGAAGAAGGCCAGAAACGAAAGTGCGACGTCCGCGGAATGCGCTGAATGACGTGTGTTCACTGCATTGCTTACGCCACTCGCATTGAACGGCACACGTGTATGGGATGAACTTGGCACAAATTGCCTGGAATTTGGAGTTAAAGTTACTGTTGTGACATAGAACACAGGCAGATTCGTTCACCATTAAAGTTAGCAAGAGTGTTAACAAGCCTTTTGGAAAACGTTGAATCGTACTTACATTTGTGGATTCATAGGAGAAGAGCTTCTGACCAACGTAGCACTGAACTGCTGAGTAGGCGAGTGTTGGGAGAACGAGGGCTATTACTAGCTTCAGCATTATCTGTTTCTGTTCCTGCAGCAAATGGAAAATTGGAATACTTCTGTCCAACTTGAAACGAAGGACACCTTCTTTAAAAAAACGCAAACAAAGTGAGTTGAATGGGACGGGTTTGTAAATGAAACGGATAAAGAGATGAAGAGGCGGGCATGAAAAGAGATTTCAATTTACGCAAGAGATTCAAATCTATCTTTCCTGCTTGTGTGTATCACAAAAGGTGAATTTGCGAATTCATAAAAATGGGCGTGAATGATAGTGAAAAGTGATAGTTATCCCGGTTTAGAGGGTGTCTGGACGGCAATTCTTCACACTGGAGATAAGGGGCCAGTTTCTAGCTGCGATATTGAACACCGATGAAGTGCATCAACAATAGAATGTTCAATGTCATGATGATCAGTGGAGGATTACGGTAGTTTTTGATATAGATGTTCAAGATGATGTTTTCGTATTGGCACATAAGTACCGAATGAAAGAAATTGAGAGGTGAGAAGTATATATGTGCTTCTCGGTAAAATCTTAGAACCGGTTTCTCAACGGACGTTAGTTTTCTCCGCCTCCTTTCTCTTTTCTGACTTTTGAATTTAACCTTTTCTCTGTCCCAAATATTCGTATCCTCTCCTCCCACACATAACGTTAACGTAAACAAGTGCGGTAAAAGATAAGGAAAGTGAAAGACGTTGAAAATTGTGAAATCGAATGGCAAATTATATCGTATCGGATAGTAAAATTTAACAAGGAACTGCAGACCACCTTGAAAAAAATCGGTATTTTTTACATGAGAAGCTGGGGGTAACCGTATTGGTGACGTCATGGGGGATTTCAGCGTGAATAGAACAAGTGTAAAATTGGTTAATTAGTCATGAGTTGTGCATAAGCTGATTCTGTGTTTAACGCAGATGTGGGGAATAAAGAAAAATGAATGATTGTAGCATATTGTTGTTTAGTTTTTTTATTTTTATTATGGTCAGCTTTCAGATACTAGTTCAATCATTCTGAATAAAACATGATAGCTATCTATCTCACTAACTTTCTTGAGCTAACTATTGTTTTCCTTTTTATCACCACCTAACTAGCAACCATATCCAAAACACGACGAATAAAAAAAACGATAATGACAATCAAATGATTCAGCTTGAATGATGTGCGATCAAACGAGTAAACACGAGAGGATAAACGACCGAACGAAAATGTCCCCACTTTCGATATACTTGTTTTGCTAATCAGTGAACACGGTATTCGATTGTTTTCTCTCCTCCCACTTTTCTGGCCCGTCGGGTTCTGCTGAAGAAGAAGCATCTCTGTCTCTTTTCTTCAGATTCTTCTTGTCTTGTCGTTTTTTTTTCGAGACGATTCCTTCCCCGTCGTTTATCTGGTTGTCCGTCAACTTTTTATGAATAGCTAGCCGCCAATTGGTCGGGACGGCTGCGCAAATTGCGGGAAGGAAGCAAGGCAAAAGCGACGATGCCTCTGACTCTTTTTTTGCCGCGTTTTTGCATAGCTGTTAGGTGTAATGGGGAAGAATTATTAGACACACGAAATAAAATGTGATGATGAATAAGACAAAATGTGTCAGATTAGGAAGAATGTGACAATTTTCATAAAGACTGGTTTTTATTTCCAGGGAGTCACCGCCGCACTTGAAGACATGGATGACGATCTTCTGGGATGGGGTGAAGATGATTTGGATACCACTCTTAAGGAGGTATATTCTAAGAAGAAGGTTAAACTTTGACATGATTTTTCAGCATCGTGAGGAGCAACGCAAGCAACTCCAACTGGAACATGAACGACGTCTCCAACAGAAAAAGCTCCAAAATGCTCAAACCCATCACATGCTATAACATTTCTACAATTCTCGCCATGTGTCTTTTGTCTCTTTGTGATTTTCTAATCCCTGGAATCTCTATTGTTTGAGAGCAATTGAGCTTCAAAATATCTCAACAAATGCGATTTGATGTTGTATTTTTAATCTATTTATTCCTGGATCTTTTGTATTATTTTTCTCCATCTATTCATTTTACATTTTTTCAATTTCATCCTCTTTTTTGCTAATCTCCATATAATTTTACTCGGGTTGTTCTATCAATAAAACGTTGTTCTGTGTTTTAGAAGGTTTCCAACGAGGAAGAATCATCCTGTATGCATTAAGTGCACTCATTGTGATGAGACAGCCATACCAGCCCTCTGTGTCCGCTCAAAAATTCATGAGCAACAATTCAAAAATGGCTTTTTGTGGATCTCGACATCCCATCTCCTCATCTCGTCCTCATTATTCGAATTCTATGCATTTGTTGGTGCATTCGTATTGGAAGAAAGGAGACTCAACAGATATGGTGATGGGCCCGTGGATGGTTGTGCGTGGTGCACATCTTATGAATGAATTATTAGCACAAGGAAGGCCCCACCCCTCTTTTCTTGCGAGCCTTGGCATCTTGAGTCTCTATTACCAGTCGAGTCGCAAGACAACCGTTCCATTGGGTGATCGGTTTTTGTTTGGTAGGCAACGAGACAGACAATCATGCGTGAAATCGTTCACATTCAAGCCGGACAGTGCGGTAATCAGATTGGTTCCAAGGTGGGTCTAAATGTCTTTATAATTTATGATATGATCGTGCTCAAGTCATTTTCCTAAAAAATTCTTTTTTGGCGTATCTAGGCACGATTAGGAAACATTGGAGCCCTCTTTAATTGTTTGTTTCCAGTTCTGGGAGGTGATATCTGATGAACACGGAATCGACCCTACCGGACAGTACGTTGGAGACTCCGATCTTCAACTTGAGAGAATCAACGTCTATTACAATGAAGCCGGAAGCAACAAATATGTTCCAAGGTGGGCCTCATAGGTTATCATCTACTTGATCTGAACAATATAATTTCCCAGAGCTGTCCTCGTGGATTTGGAGCCTGGAACTATGGACTCTGTGAGATCTGGACCATTTGGACAACTCTTCCGTCCGGATAACTACGTTTTCGGACAAAGTGGAGCTGGAAACAACTGGGCCAAAGGACACTACACCGAAGGAGCCGAGCTAGTTGATAACGTTTTGGATGTGGTCAGAAAGGAGGCTGAAAGCACTGATTGTCTTCAAGGATTCCAACTCACTCACTCTCTTGGAGGAGGAACAGGATCTGGAATGGGAACTCTTTTGATTTCGAAAATCCGCGAGGAATACCCAGACAGAATTATGAATACTTTCTCTGTTGTGCCAAGTCCAAAAGTGTCTGATACTGTTGTTGAACCATACAATGCTACCCTGTCTGTTCACCAGCTGGTCGAGAACACCGACGAGACGTTCTGCATTGACAATGAGGCATTGTACGACATCTGCTTCCGCACTCTGAAACTCACCACGCCGACATACGGAGATTTGAACCATCTGGTGTCAGCCACGATGAGTGGTGTCACCACTTGCCTTCGTTTCCCTGGACAACTTAATGCCGATCTTCGCAAGTTGGCAGTAAACATGGTTCCATTCCCACGCCTTCATTTCTTCATGCCTGGATTTGCTCCGTTGACTAGCAGAAGTAACCAACAGGTAATGAACTTTGTCTCTTTGACTTTGAGATTTCGAAAATTGACAAATTTCGATTTTAGTACCGCGCTATCACCGTTCCGGAGCTCACTCAACAATGTTTCGATGCTAAGAACATGATGGCTGCCTGTGACCCAAGACATGGACGTTACCTAACCGCCGCTGCAATCTTTCGTGGAAGAATGAGCATGAAAGAGGTTGATGAGCAGATGCTCAACATCCAGAACAAGAACTCCTCCTACTTCGTCGACTGGATCCCAAACAATGTCAAGACTGCAGTCTGTGACATTCCGCCAAGAGGACTCAAGATGTCGGCTACCTTCATTGGAAACTCCACTGCTATCCAAGAGCTCTTCAAGAGAATCAGCGAGCAATTCACTGGTTTGTTAATCATCTTGTAGCTTTCAAAAATGAAAAATTTTCAGCCATGTTCCGCCGTAAAGCCTTCCTTCATTGGTACACTGGCGAAGGAATGGACGAGATGGAGTTCACTGAAGCCGAGAGCAACATGAACGACTTGGTCTCCGAGTACCAACAGTACCAGGAGGCAGCCGCTGATGAGGACGCTGCTGAAGCCTTCGACGGAGAGTAACACCAATTTTCAAAGTTTATCGATCGAATCTGTTATATCTTTTACGATTTATTCTGCCTTATTGATGCTTTGCTTCTTTTTTCATGGGGAATTCACAAGTAATAAATCTTGTTTAGCTGAAAAAAAAAACGTTTGAAAAAATAAGAAAGAGACATTTATTCGAAGAAGGGAAAGTTCTAGTTCGTTTCAAGAAGCAATTATTTACAAGAGATCTGGAGAGAAAAGAGAAATTGAAAAGTGTAGTAAATTAGCAGAACCCTAAATAGTGGGAAGACCCAGTCGTAGAAGCAAAAATAGTGTTATATGGATACAAGGGCATCATTTTTTTTCGCAGTTCCAATTGTTATCTGCCGCTTGTCTTCTGGAATATCTTTTCTTCTCGTGCTTTCTCTCAGCAATTTTTCTTCATGTCGGCTTTTGAAGAACAACGATATCATATCCACCAACAAGACGCATACTTCCATGACGGTGATAACAGAGAATCCTAAACATAAATATTTTCTCACATCTTCTCAATAAATGCCAACCTAGCCAAAGACCCAAATGCCCTCCAAAATCGGCAATAAGATTGACCAAACCGTAGGCTTCCGATTCTTGCAACAATTCGTAGTTCAGTTGTTCGTAGAATACCTGCAGAATCGTACGATTTATATGTTCTCACTTCCGCATTTTTGAGATAATATTTGCTATCAGATAGATAGCATGGTTAGTATTCGTACGTGCGGTAAATATCACTTTTGCTATCATTCTGCATTCCTTTCCCACTGCTGACCACTCATCAGAATTGCAATTATCGTTCACCTAGAGATCAAATCAGTTCGAGGCCGCACACTCGCGACAAAATGAAGCCGAAACTTTCTTTTTCTCTTTTTCTTTTATACTCCGTTTTCCCGACGCCCTCGCTAAAGTTCGAAAGGAGGGATGGAAGGCACTACATGGAAGAAAAGAGAGGAAGAGTGTCCCATGTGCTTCCGTGGCGCAATAGGCAGCGCGTTCGGCTGTTAACCGAAAGGTTGGTGGTTCGAGCCCACCCGGGAGCGAAAATTTTTTTAATTTTAGGAGAAGAACTTTTGAAAACATTAAAATGGTGCTAGACATATCTCATATATACGACAGGCTATTTTCGGAACAAAATATCTCATTTTGGATGTTTAAAATATAATTGGTTTAGTTGCATGAAGCTAAAAAAAAACATTAGGTCGAAATTTCAGAAATAGAACTTAAAGGAATTTGTACAAGAAAGTTGCTAAATACAAAGTGGAAAGCTCGTTTTTTGTTTTGTTACTGAGACCTGAGAATTATCAGCTCAGTTTTTAAGCTTTCATATTTCCTGGTTAGTGCTCACCAGAAAGAAGACTCCTCCATTTAGTCAGAAATTAGAGACTACATTACGAATATTGAAATTTTTGATTTGTAAAATTGCTGTTCGGTGGGTTCAAACCATAAACTTTTGATAGTCTTCACTTTCAGAAAATCTGAACCTCGATCTACCAGACTCACCTCAATCATGGCCGCATTCAATCTGTAGTACTGTTCACATTCGTTTTCAGTCATTCCCTCGCAATCGCCAAGCTGAAAATTCAATTCATCAACATTAAAATATAAATTTTCTGGAACTAAAGGTATGTGAATGGTGACTTGTAATAAGGGTGAGACTAGAAGAGTGATGTGATGTTAAAGGAGTGGTTATTCAGAATAAGACATTTTCTTCAACAAAGGTTTACACAACACTGCTAAAAAGAAGGGTTCTAACGATTATGAACAAGGGGTCCAAGTATAACCAGAACATTTCAATGAACCGACTCTTTTTCCTTGCGATTTTTCCGTATTGCCCAACTTACGCGTTGCTAAAAGGTGATTAGATGATCATTATTGAAGCAAAATGACAAAACAAAAAAATTTGAAAAATTCAAGTCTCCAAACTTACATCAGTAGCACCTGATGGCCATTTGGAGCAGGAAAATGTAACTTCGTGGATGATTTCTTCACATGATTGTTTGCAAACACATTTGTCCATTTTCTCGGTGATATGATGGAAATCTCCGACTGATCCGATGTTTCTCTCCAAACAGGCACCTAAAATTAGTATTTTGAATTACAGTAGCGCATTCTGCTACATACGGGCAGTTGCATTGAAAGCCGAGCAATGTTTATATCCTTCTGGAACCGGGAATCTTGGATCACCACATGAGCAATCATCAATTAATCCATTTTGGAAACAACTTCTGTGACAACCCTCTGGATGATAATCATACCCACTGTAAATGTAGTTCCCATCTGTCACTTTTTTAGTCTCAACACATTCCCCATATGGTGCTGGTAATCTTTGCATGACCTTCTGCAAAAAATATTTTGAAATTCTGGAACAACGTCATCCAATAAGTTTCTACCTTTTTGATTCCAAAACTGCTCGCAAAACCAACTGGCGCAGAATAACCAAACGTATCCGGGAACGGATACTCAGTTGGTGGATGAATGGCAAGACGAACTCCAGATGACTCAGAAGTCGACATGTAGTCAGAGGTGTTCACGAAAAGGAGAACACGGATACCGTACATTGGACCTGCACGGCTACTAGTGTAGTTATTGTCAACATCGTAGTTGAAAGTGAAACAGTTTCCGAATTCTGGATCAACATGAAGGCGGAAATCTCTGAAGTTGGATAGTTTGGGCATTTTGAAAGGAAAAGTATATTAGAAAGAGACTAACTCATCAATATCGCATTCTTTTCCGTTAAAGGAGCACATTTCAATGAATTCGTGTTTAGACTGACTCAATGCAATTCGTTGTTTATCTGACAACGCAGCCATGGTGAACATTAAATTTTCTTTTGCTCTGGTCAGCATAGCAACTCCATCAGTCATTCCCTAAAAATATGAAATTCTCATTCCTAAAAATAAGAGCGTGTTTTTTTGAGGTACCTGAAAACCCATAGCCTTGATGGTTTCTGGGTTGCTGACAATTGCTCGTTGATTCGGTCGTGCTATAAATGAATAGGTTTTTCATAATCCTCAGTTTCTGGCACTACACTCTAAAAACCGATTCAAACTCACTGCAACTTTTTCTAAAGGTCTGTAAGAGAGGTGCAAAAAAAAGGATAACAAAACCATGCGGTTAACAAAAAGGGAAGCTATTGAAATCAAATGAAAGTAAAAACCCAAGAATTGAAACTGTACTTGGATACGGAGTAGTTGTAGTTGTTGCTGGTTCTGTCGTGGTCGTAGAACTGGTTGTAGTGGTAGAAGTAGTAGTTGTAGGTCTTGGAGTTGTAGTCGTAGTAGTTGTAGACGTCGTTGTTGTTGTCGGTCGAGGTGTAGTCGTTGTAGTGGTAGAAGTAGAAGTAGAGGTAGAAGTAGTAGTAGAAGCTGGCAAAGTTAGAGAAGTAAAAATTTGTGGTGCTTAATTTGAAAAAAGTTTTGAACAAATGTGCGGAGTCTAATCAGTATGACATTTTTATTATCAGCTAATAAACTTACGCTCAGTTGTAGGAGGCGGGGTCGTAGTCGTTGTGGTTGTAGTGGTAGCTGGAAATAATGCGAAAAATTCAAAAACGTGCTGATGTGCTCATTTGTGTGCTGTGATTGTCAAAGATTATTTTTTGAGGTGAACATGCATAAAATGAATTCTTCCTCATCTTCCAACTTACTCGGTGGAGGTGTTGTTGTAGTTGTAGTTGTGGTAGTAGTCATATTGTTTTCCAGCCAGAGCTTCCTAATTTCTATTTTTCCTGTACCAGCTTTTCCGATACAGTAAGGAGTCTGAAACACAATTTGAAGAGAAAAACCATGAAGATCATCTGCAAATCGTGTTGAAACTACGATTTTGAAGTTTCAAGTAACAGAAATAGTGGTGAAGAATGAAATCAACTACTCAAGAAAAACAGAAACTAAAAAATATAAACATAAAATCTTCAAAAACCCAAACTGAATACTTGTTGTGCCTAAAATTCAATTTTCCTGAAAATAAGATTTGTTTCACAATTTGTACCTTTTTCAATCCGTAAATAAGTTCAAGTGGCTGAAACTATATTAGTTAATGAAAATGTTTAAAAATCGACTAATCGAAAAAGAAGAGAAATTTAAACCCACGTCGTCCCGACTCGTAGTATCACCGCGGTTTCTGCACATGCAAGGCCATTTGTCAGAAGACGTGACTCCGTTCGGAAGAGATAGCTCACAGTAACCGTCATCGTGACAGAGAGGGCATTCGTGGTCGTACCATACACTGGAAAATGTTTCAGTCGATTTTTTTTATTTTCAGGAGTCTGGTGCTCAAACGGACCATTTTTAAAACTTTGGAGGGTGTAAAGTAAAGTTAAATTAAAAACTTTTAATACACATAATTTTTTGAAATTTTCCTAATCCTGCACAAAGTTTAAAGGCGCATCCCTTTTTCCAGAAAAAATATCCCGCCACGCGATGTATTTCAATGCATTTACAGTTATGTCGCGAAATGCTTTGAAATACATTTCGCGACACTCGTGCATTGAATTTCGAGGGCGCGGAAATGCATTTAAATACACATTTTCGCTACATGAATAACCCCAAAAGTGATTGGAAACTTGACAGACGAGCTCCAGACTCCTGAAAAGGATCAAAATCAATTGAAGAACATGTCGTCTTCACATCTTTTTTGACTGTTATTGTATCTGACTCTATTTCAATTTGTACCTGATGTTAAAACAAGGCCAGGCCACTTCCATATCTCTATCGTAGGTACAGATACACTTGGATCCCTAAAAACATTTTTATTCTTTTTCGAGCTAATTAATTCTTGCCGGATCTCTTGGTGGTGATTCAAAACGGATACATTCCATTCCAATGTTTCCGACACATTTACAATGTGCTTCAATTGCCTCGTATCTTCTATTCTCCACCTGAATTTTTCAAATTTTGACTTTTTTCTGAAATTTCCTCACCGATCGCTGGGATCTCCGTCTTGCAGTCAAATTTCTCGCTGCCTGATTTGACATCTGAAGTGTCAAATTTGACTTTTTCAACTCCGCCATCCCTTCTTCGATTTCTTCGGCAAACAGCTTGCGGACCATCTGCTGACTTGCATCGGAGTGTTGTTTACGTGAAATTTTCGGTTTTTTCTTGTCTCCTTCTGTTTTGCTATGCGTTTTTGCGTTATCGTACACATCCATCTAAAAATAAAAATGAGGTTTTTGAGTGTTCCTGGTTGAGATAATGGGCAGCTTTGTTTCCAACATTTGCTCTCAAGTGACGCGGAAAACTTACCGTGTCTCTGATTGAAGGAACCATCATAACAAGACTTTTCTTGTAAGGATTAAGATTGCAAAATGTGATGGCTGGAAACTCCACATCATCGAATTTCAGCTGAAAAAGAAATTTTTAAGTATTTGATATTTGGAAGAATTTCCAACCGAAATATCCGTGATTTTCTCATGAGCATTGAATTTGAGAATCAGTTTGCTGGCTTGATATGCAAACATGAGTAAGAATGAGAAAATGATCAAGCCCCACATAAGTTTCGAAAAACTGTTTCTCGCTATTAACACCCGTTTTGCTCCGTGAGCCGTCGTTTTGTCGCAGAAATCCATCATTTTCGCCTTCATGGTTTCATCGTCTTTGCTTTGATTGAAATTGTTGGATTTGGTGGGAGAGCCGTGGAACTTCTCGCCACCATTTTTTTCGTTTTTCGGGATGTCATGACTATAAATGTAATCTTCGCGTCCCGGCGTCTTTTTCGTTTTACTGTGTTGACTTGACATAGCCCGTTATATAACTAAAGTTAGGATGTTTTTGACTGTTGAAATCATCAAGGTTTGCAAAAAATTTTAGAAATGGTGATAGTGAAGAGAACAAGTATTTTATGTATTATAACGTTATCCTGAACCGATTTTCTGGCCCGAATACCTGTTAATATCCTTGACTAGACTTTGAAAAATATTCAGACAGAACAACATATCTTCAAGTAGCGGAAAGAGGAAGAATGAGCAGGATTGAGGAAAAATTGACTTTCACAAATAAACCCTAATTTTTGAGTGGACGGGACGTCTTCTAGACGAAAAAAAAAGTTGGTTCGTTTAGAGAGGAAGACATTAGAAATTGATGAATACAAATGTGGAGTAGTAGACTGGACCAAAGAATAGAAGGAAGTTGTAAGTAAAGAAAAATGAAATCTATGCATTCAGAAAAAACTAAGAAGTAGCAACACAAACTATAGTTTTGTAACATCTAGATGAAAGATCTAACGGAAGTTCGAAGTTGAAAGAAGGTCCAAGGAAAATACAAAAACAAGGTACAGAGAAAGAGTGGCGGGTCAGCTAGATTTGATAAATTGATAGAGGCTCATTCGAAAGGCACCTGCTAATGTACCCAGGATAAAAGGTTCCGTCATTCCCAAAAAAAATGTCAACTGGGATGAAAAACCCCTTTTCGCTCTCTGATGAGTCAGAGACAAAAGTGTTTCGGTGAAGCCAGAAGGTTCAAAAATCAAAAGAATTCGTTGAGAGAATAGAACGGATCGTGTTGTGTGTTGTATGTGGGGGAGGAGAATCAGAGAGGACTTTCTCGATTTTGCAAAAATGAAAAGAAATTTGATATGATAACGTCACGAAACGCACCAACAATCTATTCCGAATGTATGGTTTAGTGTTGTTGCATTTCTAATTTTGTAGTCTGAAGCGAGAGAGATCCGCCGAATTTGTCAATGTGGCAAAATAAATGGCCTCAAAAAACGTCACTTTTTTGGAATAGAGTCTTGTTTCAAAAAAAATCTTTAAGTTTCTAAAACGAAACATAATGAAAAGTAGAATTATTCAATACTTTCAAAATTTCACATTAGTAAAAAACTAAACTGCACAATCATTGCTCTTTTGATATCAAAAGTTTAGACTTTTGAGTTTGCACTTATTTAAAAAAGAACTCCAAAAGTGATACTTGGACGCAACTCAAAATGCTAATCCTAGACAACACTTTTTTTCGAAATGTGGGTTTAGTTTTTGGCTCAAAATAGGAGAAGCGAATCCTAAACATTCAAAAACGGAGTTATCGAGCAGCATTATAATTGAAAAAAAGTGTTTAGTGTCCTGAACAGCTTATTCAAATTTTTAGGAACAGAAGTCTTTTCACTTTTTTTTTCAGAAGAACTTGTGGGTTCTCTCACTTTTGCTTTACAACATGATTTTTCACTAATAAAAGTTCATATCCTCATTACTCAGCAGCTGATAATGTTTGTTCACTTTTTTTCGTCAAAATAGATAAAGTGACACCTTCGTTCTACTTACTTTCAAAAACTTCAGTTTCAAAAAGAAATCTAGAGAAAGAGTGTCAGATTCCAAACTAAAAAAAAACTGGAGAAGTGCCGAGAATTCGGTCATAAAACTGGCGAGAGCATTTATTCCGATAGTAATAAAAGTGTCGGAGTGGAACTTATTTCCACTTTCCTATCACCACAAAAAAAAAACGCTCGTTTCTCATCCTGGTTAATGAACAATGAATTATCATTGCGGGGGATCCCATGCCCTCCCCGAGCATCAGCTGCTTGTCACAATAGTGAAGACAAGAGGAAAGGGGAAGCACAAGAAGATAAATCACTATCAACAGATCACAAATATTTTTAATTGAAATTGAATTCAAATATCAAATCGAAAAATCACGTTCCCTACTGTAGTTTTATGATTTTCAAAGATGAAAAATGAGGGAAGTGAGCCGACAAAGAGCAAAAACGACATAGGAGATGGAACGGAAACGAAAACTAAGTTTTGAGTTTACATTCTCAAGTGTCGATAGGAGAACATTAGAACATGCATCGTGAAGCAGGTTTATTTGAATGTAATAGACAAAAAATGTAACCTTTGTTTTCTTTTTTTGCTTTATTTTTCTAAAAGAAAACTTCCGGCGGAGTTTTCCCAGACAAGTGAGGCGATTTCAATTGAAGGAGAAATTAGATTCCAAATGGTTTAAAGTTTTGTTACAAATTCTAGTAAATTTGAGTAAATAAGAGCTCAAAAAACCAAGTAAATCAAGAAAAAATGTTTCATTAAAACATTGTGTTTTATAGAAGCTATCTTAGTTCCAAATGACGTTTTTTTACTGTTTCAAAAAACCAAATGTACTTTTTTTCGAAACATCAACTGGGAGGTGCAAAGTGAAAAATGAATAGGTGCGAGCCCGTAACCGACTCCCGCCTGAAAGCAAATTCATAACAAATGAGCTTGTCGAGCTGGGATTCTGGGAAATATTCTTGACTCCTTTGGAACAGGTGACCAACTGACCCAAGGAGAAGAGAAATGTTTTGATTTACGAGAGGTCTTAAAGAACAAAATGGTTTTGTTCTTTTCAAAAATTGAACTTTGACCGCTTTGGGACCATTAAGATTTTTGAATCACTTTCTGAGGTGCGTGGATTAGAAGTAATCGTCAAAAAGGATTAGGGAGTTTGAAAAAAAACATTAAGAACTCGGTTGCTCCCTCTAGAGTTGCTGTCCGTAAAAAAGGAACTGGGTAAGCTTTTAGTGCCATCGGAGATTTCTTTGTGCCCAACACCAACGATTGAAAAAAATTGGAAGAATTGTGGGGAGAGAGAGAGAGAAAGTGGTCAAGATTTATGGGTCGAAAACTGGCGACTATATCATTAGGAGTGTTGAGTAGTTGACTTCCGTCGAAAAATTGGAACTCAAGGTTTTTGATGGGTAGACCTACTATACTATATTTCCGAGACCAAGAGTTAAAAACGGAAATGAATCAATTGTCCTTTTGAGACACGAAATGAGTAGCTAATCAAATTGAAACGCTAACAGGAAAAAAGAAAATGAAGAGTTGCAACATCGTTTTCCTCCACTATTCTTCTGAAGAGTTTCTTCCCAGAAATCGTCTCTTCCTTTTCTGCTTCTTTTACTCATTCGAGTAATGGGATACCCCGTCTGAGGGTCGACTGGTAGATAAGACCAATTACCTTAGGCAGAAAACCACAAAAACAAGGCTCAATTTAAGAAATGAAACTCTCTTGGCTTCAATCTCTATCACGGATATTTCGGTTGATTTCAATTTAATTGTTTTGTGTTTTGAACTAACCTTAACATTTGTCGATGGGTGCTTTTGGACAAACTTCGCATAGAGTTGAGCAGCCTGAAAAAAGGGAAATTAGTTTTTTGTTATGTCTGCACCCATTTTGACCCAACGTTGACCTTCTCAGAAGGGGTCCCTAATGGTGTACGAAATGATGAAAGAAAAAAGAAGAAGAGATCATTGGAACAGCTTAACAAAATTATGGGACATCAGGTTATAACTAGAAACTATGAAGGGACATAAGACTGTGGGTTTATGGTTTCTTGCTTTTGCATCCATCAGAAATCTCATATACCGTGAATACTTTAATAGAAAGCCACTTTATAACTTTGAGTTCAATTATCTCGATTTTTATATAAGATACGAAAATCTATCAACAGATGAAATATGTTTCATATTATTGTCTTCCGTTTCGATTTATGGAACCTCGCCCAAAAATCACTGCAGTAGTAAACGAAACTTACTTCTGTGATTTTTTTCTGAACAAAACTTAGATTTCTTGGCATGGAAATGATCGCTAGCATCTCTAGAATCTGTTTTTCATTAAAACCGAACTTAGTTGCGAAAGTAGCTCGAACGAGGCAAAAGTCTGAAATATTACAATTTTGTCGCGCTTTTTCGCAGATAAAAAAAGAGGAGGTTTCCAAATCCTCAGGTCCCAGTTTTTTTTTCAATTCGACAATATCACCAACATTCCATTAGTTGACAAATGTTTGATATTTCTTATAAAAAATGAGATATTTGAGCTCAAAACAATATAGAGTGACCTTTTGAAATTGTTTGTTATAATGTCAGAAGTGTTTTGTCAGCTAACATATTTTTTGATATCTTGCCTAGGAATGACGGTAAATCAACTGAAACAGGACAGTGTGGGCTCCGGGACGTTTCAGAACCCGTCGTTTCGGAACCACGACGTTTCAGAACCCGACAGTTCAGAACGCGACGTTTCAGAACCCGATGTTTCAGAACTTTTCTGCATTTTTGTATAGTGGTTTTTGCACCACACCAAATGAGCGTTACTCATTTGAATTTTGTTTTTTTCTGCATTTTTATTCATTCTCATCTACCGTACTCCAAATAATAATAGGTTCACACTGGGAATCTCTCAAAAAATCAAAAAAGTTGAATTTAAAAAAAACGATGCCATTGAAAAATGAGACTCCTATTCGCCGGAAAAATTATTGCGTACTTCTAGACATCGTTCTTGAAAAGTTCAATTTTTTTCGATTTTTTGAGAAATTCCCAGTGTGAACCTATTATTATTTGGAGTACGGTAGATGAGAATGAATAAAAAGCAGAAAAACATCAAATTGAAATGAACAATGTTCATTTGGTGTGCAAAAACCACTATACAAGAATGCAGAAAAGTTCTGAAACATCGGGTTCTGAACTGTCGCGTTCCGAACTGTCGGGTTCTGAAACGTCCCGGAGCCCAGTGTGGGGAGCTCTCCTTTCACAAGTTATCCTTCTTACAACCTGCACCGAATTCTCCCAAAAGTTTCAGTTACCTGATAACAAAAAACAGAGAAGAACGCCAACCAAACAAACACCCAAAACCCTCTTCCCATCTGATTCCGTGCTTTCGATATCCGTGGCAATCCGTGGGCTGTGGTATTGTTCAGGAACCGCTGAATAGCGCCCATCGTCTGGAATAAACCTTTCTCATAAGAATACATAAGAGGGCGGATGAGCAATGAACCAGACATAACTTGGGTAAAAAAGAAAAGGATGTTCCAAAAGTTATTTGGTTTTTTGCTCATAGTGTTTCGATCAAGTTCAAAAACATTAAAAGTCATAAGTGGAACAGAATTTTTTGGATATTTGTTTGAAAAATCATTCACAAAATTGAGAAAACGCTTAATATGTAGCAGATGTGTAATCTAAAACAATATACATTTTTGCGAACCATTCTAAAAGAGCTAGCTAATAGTAGCCTTTATACAAATTCGAACAAATTAAATGAAAAACTTCAATTGCTCTTATGAACTTAAAGGATCAGACACATATGATGTGAAAAAATGAGTATGACAACAAAATTACTCACAGATTTTGGAGCTTGACTTTCGGGTCCCATTTTGACCTCTGTATCCAACGGTTCTTGATGGTCTTCTTCGATTGCGACTGAAATTATTTTTATTGTTTGTTTCAATTATTAACAATGATGTGCACATGATTATTCAATTAAAAAAAAGAGAATATTTTCTCTCACTAGACGAACTGAGACTGAAAATGACGACTGCTACCACAACTTCAAAAAGATAAAGTTGCTGCCAAACCAAAACAACTTTGAAAATGGAAAAACGAAGTCTGGAACAGAAACAAAACAAAGAACTAAATGAAAATGAGAACAAAAACCAGAAACAGCAACCTTCCCCTGGGCGAAAAAAGGTTAATGAAGTTGCTCCCCAGTGGGCAGTTTGTGGTCCCCCTTCTACTATTCTATTCGACTCTCTCACTCTTGCCGCCAAGCCTATTTCCGTTTTTAGCACTCAACAATGGAGGATTGTGACCCCAAAGAAGAAAAATCTAAATACAAACAGAAATTTTCGAATTTCGTGGTTTCGAGAGACGTGTGAAATGGGGAAATTTGGAGAACAACGGCTGAGCCAATGGTGAAAAATAATTCAAAGACGAAAAAAATGGTGTTCGGTAAACCAAACGTAACATACATATGTTAGAATAAAATGTACGAATTTTATATTAGGGGAATTTTGAAATGGAAAAACCTTTGATGTACCAGAAAAAAGGACTCACGTATAGGTCTTCCACGGCTACTCGGCGTGCGCGACTTCATTATTGTGAGGCAGGTGTAAGAAGATGTACCGGAACAATTAACTCGAGGTGTTGGTAGGTCAAAACAACAAGAAATCAAATTAGTGGGTACCGAATCAACATACACAAAACGGTTTACCGGTTTGTTGTTCTAGGATTTGCCTTTTGTAAGCTTGTTAGCCATGTAAAGGAAATCTTTGTTCCTGGAAGTGGGAATTTTTTTCGCCTGTTTTTTCTCGGAGTTTTCTTTTCAAGTAACAAAGTTAGTTATCTTGACCGGCAAGTTTGGGTCAGTAAAGGATACATTTTTTTGGATTTCATTAAAAAGACATCCCCGTTTTTGTAGCTTCCTGTGAAACGAACTTTACACATGTCTACTAAAAACTTTTCCATTTATATTCTTTGTTCTATGTATACTTTTCGCATCTTCCACAATTTTTCTCCACTCGTCAAAAAGTGTTCCATTCAATTTTCATCTATTCATGTTTTGTCCAAACCACATGATTAATGTGATACTACGTTCCCATGGATGGGAGACAAAATCGACCCGTTGAGATTCGTCGGACACGCGCTAAAATAATAAATCGACGGGAAACGAAGAATGGAAGTGAAAAAAGATGCGCACAGTTTCATATTGAACAATGTGGGAACCTGAGTCAGAATTTGGAAAAATGTTGAAAATGAAGATAAATTGAAGTTGGAGACTAATCTTGTTTTTTAAACCCCGACAGAACCTGTCATTTAATTTGGGAGACAGTTTCAAAAAACGATATGGAGTTGCATGAAGAAATCGGATGTTATGCATACATGTAGGTGTTCCTGTTTTGTAGAATGCGAAAGCCCATCTCAAATATCTTAGATTTTAGATTGACAGCATGATCTTGCAAATTCTTCAGGAAAATATAAAAGTTAAGATGGAATGATCAAAATGAAAGTTTTTAAAAAGTTCAAAGACTTCTGATTTCAGTTTTTAAAAATGCGTCCAAAATGATAAATTCACAAATCCACATGACCTAAGAAAACTGGTTTTCGTAAATACTCTAATAGAACGCTTAGAAAGTAGTCAGTTTTAAGTTCCTAGATCTCATTCCCCGTAATAAATATCAAAAAGGGGTAAACTGTCGAAATTTTGTTTATCTTGTTTAAAATATTTCTTTAGTTCATGGGTGTTTGATTTATAATTACAGAAATTGAGATATATTGGCTCAAAGTTCTGTTTTAGAATATTTATCATATTTTTATTGCCGGCATTTTATTTATTTTTTGTGTAGACCAGGAACATTACATTTCCCAGCCGCCTTTTTGATTGATTTTTATCCATTTTTAGCTTTTGTTCTTTTCATTGTTAATTTTTTTTCTCGATTTTAAATCAGTACAAGTTTATCAACTTGATGAGTCATTGATGAAGATCACATCCCTCTTTATTCCCAACTTTTTCTGTTTTTCCTAACAAAACCAAAAATTTGAAACCCAACCGCCAACTCCCATTAAAAACTAGAACAAGATAGTAAGCAATCATGTAGGTGGCGGTGCCTTTGAAGCGGTCGCGTGCCTTCTTTAAGATAATTAATTGAACATGTTGCGGGGCGATATATTTTTTCCTTGTTTTCTTTCCTCCTGTTTCCTCCTTTTTGGTTGCCCGGAAATCCGTCTGAATTGACACCTTGCACTCTGCAATCTCTTTTTTCAAAAAAACCTACCCAACGAAGCATGGCAAAACTTGCACAAATTCTTCCTGTCTATCATTGATGTATGCACAACAAAGTAACTCATATAACAAGGCAAGCAGCTAGTTCTACTTTTCACGTAACAATAGTGATTCTCAATTGGTCGGCAAACACGGAGCACATCATAGAATAAACTTGTGGATGTGCTCTATTGTTATGCAATTGATGACCCCACAAAAGTCAATGCGGACCATGTAATTAGTTTTGGGAAGTCACAAGGAAACGCATGAAGAGATTTTTGTTTTGCACAGGAGATTGGAAATGAAAACTTTATTAAATCAGGAAAAAATAATAGGTGTAAGTGATATTTGAGATTTTGTTACCGCGAGTTTAGAGACAATGAAAGGCAATTAGAAATATGTCAGAATGATTTAGAAACCCCTACAGTGCAAATTAGATCACAAGAAGAAGTATATAGAAAACGCCGATCCCGCACAAATTCGAAAATATGGTGGGACAAGCAGGTGAGGAGCAATTAAAGAAACCAACGTCGTTTTGCTTATTGATGGTGTAAAATTCCACACAAAAGCAACGTCTATTGAAAAGATAATGGGCGGATGTGAGGGGAGAAAGAAGGAAAAAGGTTGAACAAAATGAAGGCAGTGTACCCGGAAGAGTAGATACAATAAGGGAGACAGAGAAGAGCTACATTTAAAAAATTTGGAAAATAAATTATCACTGGAATAGAAATAAGGGACTTTGAATCCTGGAGCATTGGAGGACACGGCGAGAAGAGAAGGAAAGAAATTTGGGAAATAAAGCTATGACAATAAAAGTTTTTCCTCAGTTTTAAAAAATTAAAAAAATTGGAGACCTAATAATCAAGTTTCGGAGCCACCATGGAATAGTGAGGTGTAATAAACTGATTTTGATACATTTGCATGAATGGATTCGGACGATCCATGAAATTGTGCATTGTATATAAATGTTGATGTTGATCTTGCTTCAAATTTTCCGGTGAGAATGTGGAGCTCTCGTCAGTGGTTGGAGTTCCAATTGAAGCGTGTCCAGAGTCGCTGCTCTCGTCGTGTTCGGGCGTCATTTGTCCCTTTTTGTCAGTCTCGTGAATCTAAATTATATTAGTCATTGACATTTTACTTCTGAGAACTACGACGAATTCAAACATTTGACTAACCTACTGTAAGAAGATTGCATCTTCATTTTCTCTTTTTGAATCGAATAAAGAAGGTAGACAGAATGTCTCAATCCATTCGAAACGCCATAAATGTAAATCAAATTCGCGCACGGTCCGCTAAGAAGTGCTACGCAGTTTCTTACGAAAAAACTAGTTTCTAACTACGGTTCTCGAAAGATATATTAAATTTTATAAAAAAATCACAAAGTTCTTCATTCCGTTATGTCACGCTTATTAATCTAGATAAGATCTCTTCACCCAACCAGAAAAATATATGAACCCCTCGTTTCCTCCGGTTAATCCTCTTCTTCCTACTGTGAAACCCCCATGGAGACAATAGAAACATGTCAATCTCATCATATTCTCACCTTCATATGTTTACGTAGAGAGCTGGGATGAGTGTACTGTTTTCCACAATCTGGGTGCTGAAATAAACATTGGTTCATTTTCGGGTTACTGTAGTTTTGAACCTACCACACAGGTATACGGCTTGTGGCTGGAATGAACATGCATGTGCTTTTTTCGGTCTGAAGAATTGGCGAAGAACTTGGAACATCCGTTGTGTGTGCATTGGAATGGTTTTTCGCCTGCAAACTGTCTGCTAATTGATTATTTCCCGTGCACAGGTGTTTGATTCCCATCGCACCACGCTGATAACTTTCCCTCTGGGAATGTTGGTGCCAAATCTGGGTGTGAAGGTTCAATTGTGGCTGAGAACGGGGGGTTAAGTAGTAATAATCGCACCAATAAATCAGCAATCCATAAGACAGCTGAGATATTTGAATAGTACTGTAGGATGGGACAATGATGGCTGGCACAGTGCAAAAATGAAAAATCTGTTGCAGCTGCTAATGAATGCTAATGGAAATGCATGAAAATCCGTTAAAATCCATGCTCATTTTTATTCTTATTTATGCATCGAAATGATTGAAAAATTAAAATTCACAATTATGCAAATATTGTCATATATGTATGCTCAAAATGTATCATTACGTCACCGATACGGTCGAACAAGCGCATGAGGAAGCGGCACGGATAAAAGAGAGGAAGCCAAATCTGTAGTCTAAACATTATGTAATTCAGAAGCATCCCAACATGATGAGAAGATTATCATCGGCTAATTTTCAAAGGTTGCTTCATCACATAATTAGATGGCGTCAGAAAGCCAAACATTTTTCCAAAGAACATATATTCCTCTGTTGAAATATTTTCTAACCCTTTTTTAAATCCACCTTTCCTCCTTAGAAATTACTCTCGATCCCTCTTTTACCCGAAATGTATCTGTTGCCTCTTCTATAAACGGATTACGGTATTGATGGCCGAACGTGAATAATAAACAGGCGAGACTATCACAAAAGAGGAAAAAGAGGAAAACTGAGAGAAAGGAGACCACTAAGCACGAAATAGGATCGTTTCGAGATTTGCTTGACAATAGAAGAAACTGACATCGTAAATCTTGGCGATCCTCAAAAGTTGCGGATCTGAATATAAAGAATAACACTCTTTTGCTTTCTTTGGAATTCACAATAAATTTATGGTGAGGCACATTTTTTTGTTATGAATGGAACAGCCATCATTATTGCCTTTTCGAGAGGGGAAAGCGTAGAACTCAAGAGCTATGGCAAGAAAAATATCACCTGCCCTTCAGGTACTTGACAGAGAAATACCTTGTATCATTTCATGAAGTGGGCCTTAATAAATACTAATCCCTCATTACACCTTCTCCTACAACAACAACCACCCTCTTGTGGCCATATCATTCTTGTCCCAAACCACACCAACCTGAATGAATTCTCTTATGGATCTTCAAATTTTCCGATCTCGCGAAAACCTTGTTACACGAATCGCAGAGGAATGGTCGCTCGCCGGTATGGACCCTCATGTGGTTCACCAATTTGTACTTGGCCTGCAATGTATAGTATATTGTATGAAGGTGTTCGAGATTACGCAAAGGTGCAAGTAAGCATAATTGCAGGGGAGAGAGTAGTTTAATACTGGGAGTGTTGTGTTCAGCGAAGAATAGAGAAATTGGAGACAATTAAAACTTATGACGCAATTCTGGTTATTGCCCCGAGCACGGGTCAGCAGAATTATAAGCGAGGAAAGTGAGAAAAATGGAGGCTTTGGAAGAAAAAGAAGTCAAAATATAGTAACCCTAGAAAACTTCTCTGAACGGGCTAGAAAAAGTTTCATGATGATCTATTCTACAAAATTTCCTAATTAAGAAGGTGCTACTTAAGTGGGTTCCAAAACCGAGACTCTTGACATACCTTGAACATTTTGAAGTTTCGTTCACACCCTTTCCATAAACAAACAAATTTGCTGGATTCATGTGTGATATGATGTGTGCTCAAGTGAGTCGACAGCTCCCCCGGATCCTGGAACATCTGCATGCATACTTGCCCATTCGTCTCCCATAAGCACTGTACTTGTTTGTCGGCGCCGTATGTCCCGAGATTACTGAAAAGGTTTTGACCTTGAATTTCGAAAAAAGGAAAAATGGGTGAGAGTTGTGGTTTTTGTAACGATGTCCAAGACAATAGAGAAAGAGTGGGGGACGAATTCAAAAATGTTGGTTTTGGTCTTACTTTGGATATAAGTATGAATCCACTGGTGGTGTTGGAATGAAAGTTGTTGGTGCAATATTCATGAAATAGTTCGATGGGTAGGCATGAGGATCTGAAAGTTAGAATTATTTGGAAAACAAACAAAATCGAAATTTTGAAAGGAATAGCCAAAAGAACTAACCTGAGTATATAGGAGCAGAAGCTTGCCACTCTGGTTGAGCAACACTGGTTGAACTCTGTAGCTGTGTATAGTACTCACTGTTCATTTTGAGGGAGCTGAAAATTTTAATTAGTTGAATTTAAATTGGAAAGTTTTGAAATCAAACGTTGATAAAAGAATGAATGAATGAGAAACAAAAAGAGCACGGATCGGCTCTGTAAATTGAAGATACTAGAAACCATCAACTCAAACAAGCTAATGGTATCCTCAGTTAGGTACAGCCTGATGATACAATGTAAACGACCACGCCTCCCACTGGGATTGGTGGGAAAGGAGGTGTGTGGAGGCGGGGCGACGCGATGGACGAAATGAATGGGAGGATGATGCGGGGAGAGACACTGGTTAGGACTCAAAAAATACAAAGAATGAAGAGTGATTGTTATTGGAAATAAAACTCACTGAAATTTGTGACAATATGGAAAGAAGTATATCGATAGCAGAAGAGGGTCATGTGCAAGGAGACTAATAAAGGATGGTTTTTAACTCCATTCTGAATCCGCTAAATTATTGAATAAACCCAAAATATTGACTCAGTTTCTACAAAAAAAGGAAAAAAAGAATGATTGAAAGCCAAAAAGCAAATTTTCGAATATGTCGAAGTCTCTATGTGTCAAACATTAGAAACTGAGTATAGGCACCTGGTGTGCGAAATTTCAAAAAAAGGAAAAAGTGAGCACAAAACTTCTGACAGAAACGTCCCATTTGTCAATTTCGCATCTGCTCGTTAAAACTTCAAAACTCACTTTCGGTTGTAATTCGGAACGTTTTTTAAAATAGAAAAAACAACGTCATTGTTTCAGTGTTCAAGTGTTCCAAAAAGTTTCAAAGAGCCCTAAGAGTTTCACTGGACTGAAGAATTTATTCAATTAATAATCTAAACTAATATAACACCTTCGTGTTACGTTTTGCCTACTGAACACAAGGCCAAAATTATGGGATACGAGGAATCGGAAGATTCATAAATCATCACCGACGATCCCGGCAACCCGAGGTGATAATTAGCTCACCTCGTATTTTCATTATCTTTTGTCCACTATCAGTTGCCTAGATATTGTACAGTTGACTCTGTTAGAAACATATTGTTTTAGCTTTGCCTTTTTGCTCAAAATTTTTTGTTCGATTTATAAAAAAAATCTACTTTTCCATTTAATTTTCGAAAATTGTGAAAATGATTTCTTAACTTTTTTTTGATTTTAATCTCTCCAGAAATTTGGATTCAAAACTTGAAGAAACTCAAACTGGACAGTATTAGGGCCTTCTTTCACAGGTTATGGTTTTTTTTAAATCTTTAAATTGAAAAATAAAAAAACACGTTTGAACATATCGTTTGAACATATAGCAATGCTTTATATAAGTTGATAAATTTCAATTTTTCTAAGTGCTGAGCGTTCGGGAAAAAATACCACAAAGCCTTTAATAGTAGGGCCCCCACACTGTAACTTTTGAGATCAATTCTTTCAGCTCCTATGCAAGATTTCGAAAATGTGTCAACTGAGAAAACACTTCTGATATTATGAGAACCGATTTATCGGTTTACAACTTTCTTATGTTTTTAACAGTAACCGAGATAATATGGCTCGAAGTCGAATATTAGAAATTTTTCTATTACAGGGTAAGTTTTTGACAAGGAACATGTTTTCCGAGGCACAAGTCTATGCAATCTAGAGTCTACATTAGGTGCTAATGTTTTTTCTACAAAAACTTGAGAGCAGCTGGTACTGTAATCTTTTCAGAGTAACTTGAAACTACTTTTAGAAGTTATTAAAAATTCTATTGAACTGTTAATATTTTGTCTTTTATTTTACTTACCCATCTCTCCTCATAATGACATCTGCCTGAAAACTTTCCAGCATTTTCTTGTGTAATTGTTGTTGTTGGTTTTGATTGAATTACTGTCACAAATTTTATCTTACTACCTATGAATGAGTTCTTGAGAGGTATATTTAACGGTTAAATCGTGTCACGTGGAATAATGATGGTCATAATCTTGATGATGACACTTTGCTGAACATTCCCAGAGGAAATTGATTTTTCGTGGAACGAGAACCATCGGAGTAATTTGCAGTAAATAATGGCACGTTTCAGCGCAAACTCTAATTTGCACGTTAAAGGAGCTCCAGATAAAAGAAATTCCCGGAATCATACAACAAAAATTGAGATAATTCCTAGCTGTTGAACTTTGGCTGGCACACCAACAGGAAAAAAACATTCACAGAAATGTCTACTTTGTACATTCCATTTGTATTTTATGCTCAACTTTTTTTGTATGGAAACGAAATGTGACAGTTTCTTACAACCCAGGAATATAGAACACCAGGAATATATAGTTAAAAAGGAAACTAGTAAAATGAATAGCAAAAAGTTTTGAGGCCAATCGACAAATTAATCATGATCTGTTTTTGTGTTTCTCATCTTGTGCGGTAATATTCAAAAACAAAACAACAGTAGTCTTTCCTCCTCGATTGTCACATTTTCCCTCATCTGGTTTCTACCGTAAGCCTCTTTTTCTTTTCATTCTTCTAAATTTTATTGAACTAAATTTTTTCGCATTTTCTCACCGATCACATAATCTCCTACCAAAATGCGCGAAAAGCGTGTTGTATGTTTTGATAAATGTTGAAGTGATAAGATCATCACTCATGGTTTATACAGTGCGGTTAGAAAGAAGAATACTGTTGCAAGAAAGAATACGCGAGATGAATAAAGTGCCGATCAGACAGAAAAGTTCATTTCGGCGCTGAGGTGAGAATTTGATGGATTATTATAGTGGTGACAGTCCACACGCGACCGAAAACGAGATGAAGAGGAAAATATACATCGATACCTCAGACCTTGAGGAGATGAGGCAAAACTATTTGAGATGATGAGAAAATCTATCGGTTTTTGGTTACGTAACGCTCGTCTAAACGATATTCCTAGTGTCATTGGTTGGTATTGCGTGTGCTACTATGCAACAACGGAAGTATGAAGACGTCAATTGGTTTCAAATTGAAATCAAGAACGAGAAAAAATAAAAATTTGAGGAGATATTTGGAGTTCAATTCAGCATGATGAGAGTTTCACATTTTAGCACTTTTGTACCATTTCCAAGAACCAACCAATGGAAACTTTGAAAACTCAATGCAACGTGGATGTATTGTCTTTCTGAATCGTGGACATAAATTAATGTACATAAAAGTTCTGAAACAAAAAAAAATATTTAGAAATAAAATAACATGAAAACAGGATATGAACACATCTTTATTAGCTCCGATATTGAAAACCAAGAAGACATGATAGAACTGTTTTTCATGAAAAGATTTAATACCACCTAATTTGTAGAAAAAAATTGAAGAACATCTAGAAACGTTCATATTTCCCACACCTCCCCACCTTGATTCCTAAGAGCCAAAAAACTTCATTCAATGACTGCTTCATTTTTTCACACTTCAAATTAATAAAGGTTACTGAAAGTTCAAATCTAGCTGTGAACAGAAGTGTCTAAATACTCGCATGGGCAGGTGTGTTCTGTTAAACGTGGTAATGCAACGTTTTCCTTATGTTTATGAGATTTCCACACAGATTGGCTCATTAACATGTCTACAGTTTTTTTTTTGAACACTTTGAAAATTGAAAGGCGCAACTGAAACTTCCAATTTCACGTGTTTATTTAAACATTTTTAACTGAAAGCAAACATCCAACAACAAAATAGGCTCAGTCCTGAAAAATCAGATAAAAATCGAAAATTTTAGTGGGACCTTTCAACTCCCATAGTTAGGCACCACAACAAAATTTTCAAAATAGATTTTTCCCAGTTTTATTGTTGGATTGTCTTCTCCTACTTTACAGAAGTCCATTCCCAAAATTTCAGCGAAAAATCTTCATTCAATCCCGAGTTACACACCATTTTGTATCAGACCTCAATGTACTGACTTTCTCCTCATTTTTTTGCGGTGCGCAGAAAAGTGGGCAGGGTTTAGAAGCTTGCAATACTGCGGCGCGGAAAATTCGTGAAGGAAATTAAAGAAAAAGCTATTAGACGCGAGAGAGACCCGAACCTCCGCCTGCGTCAGATCGGCGCGCGCACCCACTATCCAGTCGGCCACGGCTGCACTCGCGGTGGTAGCTTTAGAGGGAAAATATGAATGTGTGACTCTTCGCTGCCTGCTGCCTTCTTCCGGTGTTGCTTTCTTCCTATGTTTTAAAGAAATTGATCTGTGAATGATAAGGAAACAGACGTATAACACATTAAGGGCGTCGATAGAATTTTTTAATTATAATTGCTCTTAGTGGCAAATTTTGCGTAGAATCTTATGGTGAAAAGAAAATCGGTGGCGCTCACCTGTGTCACCTTCAAAACTTCCAAAAACTGAAAATTTTGAAAGTTTGGAATTTTCGGATGAGTATCAAAACTACTTAGAGGTATCCAATCTTTCTGAAAATTGGCAGAAGTATACACAAGACTTAGTTTTACCATAATATGCAAAAAAAAATTGGGGTCATCGCTGAAATTTTTTATTTATTTTAGCTGGAACTTTGGCTGAAAATTGTGAAACAAGGGCGTCGTTAGAATTTTGATTTTATTTCAAAATCCAATCCCCCAGTTCAAAAACTATCAGAATCCATTAAAAAATCTAATGGCGCGAACTTCCATCCAACACTTTTAGTCCACTTTGTCAGTCCCACTTCTATTTTTCGAAGTTTTCGAATCAAAATAATAAAGTTATCGAAGAACTGATAATTTCATTGGATTCAGCGTAGTCGATTACATAGGGACAAGTTCTCACCAAAAAAATAATGGGTTTCTAACGCCCGGTACAAGCCTTCAAAGATGGATTTCTGAAAAGGGGAGAAAAATTTGGTCGCCCCGCCCCCTTTCATTGCGGTGCCTACCCATAGTCCCGTTTTTTGCGATGCTTTCCAATTGATGCAGATAGAGATACGCGGGTGAAATGTCACGGTTCAGCAAGATGTCTACCGGATATGAGGTGTTAAGAAGTGCAAACTTTTCCAATTGACATATTCCAGCAGATACGAACGTCTCATACATCCCGGACAGTGTTCACATTCACAAGAGTTGGGAAACCATATCAAAAAAGTTGTTAATTGAAGCAAATTTGGTTCTCGATTAATTAATAGTGATGGAATTTTTGGACAATTTTTAATTTTGCTGAAAGGCCTTTTTCGAAATTTTGACATTTGGTAAATGACTCCTTGTGACATCTATGTATAACAATTTTCTCACAACAACAACTGGAACTAATTCTATTTATCAATACTATACTCTATAATGACCCGAGTGTGTTCATAAAGTAGCATTGCCCTGTGAAAGTGAGGGGAAATGACTTCTTGAACGCAGACAGGTGTCACCAGTGCACACATGGCCCACCAAATCTGTAGAGGTTGTAATGGGGAATCTTGTCTGTTACACAGACTTTGTGTACAAAATGAGGGAGTTTGAACATGAATCGGAACAATATTTCAAAGGTTTCAATTTTTCGGAAAAAGTACGGACTCTACTTTTTTAAAACGTTTAAAAAACGATGTACAGTACTAAAGAAATATTATATTTTGAATTTTTCAGCGAAAAATATTAATCTTCAGAGATCAGCAAAAGTACTTCAGATGTTTCAGTTTGTCTCATATTTCTAGCGCATATTGAACAAAATCAGAGCTTCTTGTTTGTAATTGACAACTGTTTTGTACAAATCGAACTAAACGAGATAAGCGGTTTGTTTCAAACTGGCACAATTTTGAGTTTAGTGTTAAGTATGGCACTTGGAGCAGTTTTTTTGGATCCAAGCGGCTTATCTGATCTTGGAGTTTGGCAGAAAATCTTACAATTGTAAATCTTACAATCAATGATAGAACAAAAACAACCAAACCTGAAGTTATCATTCTTTTTTGAAGATGTATGAAACACTCACATTTGGAAACTATACAAAAACCGGATAGAATATACCGGAAAGCACTGAAAATCGTTTCGATTCTCCCTATTTACATCGAATTTTGCCACTATTTACTGATTATTATATCCAGCAGTTGGGAGATAAAATTGACTTGCATTGCAATTTATTTAAAAAAAAACATTTTTCAGAGAGGATTCGGTGGCTGTGATTGGAAAACATCTAGAAAAACAGTGTCTAAGTGATAGCAAGAATAGTGATGAAATTGAAACTGGATCAACCTGAAAAGAAGCTGTTTAACCGGTTTTCTACGAATTTCTGACCTCCGTTAAAAAAAGGATGGACAATAGTGAACCAAAGGATATCAAATTTTGACTGTTCCAGTAGAAAATTATACATTTTGAAGCCACGAAAAAGTATTCCATAAGGTCTTCATTTCTTCAGATTAAATTAAGCAAAAATATTTAGCCAGAACAATTCTACATCCCTCTTCCCTTTATCCCCTTCTTTTTCTCAATTTTATTGCCCGCGTTTCGATGCAAGGAGAAATAAGCTTCTACTCGCACCCGTTTGCAGATATAGCCTTGAGAACCGTAGAACTCCTATGCTGGTACGCGATACATCCGCGCAATAGTTGTGCCTTTTGGGAATGTAATGAATATGACTGTAAATGAACGATCATGAATCATGTTCAAAGTGGGGAACGTTGTTCCGATGTTTGAAAACACACAGTTTCTAGATATCTCACCTCTTTTCCTGCAAAAACTGTAGGATGTTTTGAAAAACAAAATATTTGCACATCGATCGATGCTAACAAAATCATTATTTGCTCGAGCTGGAAGTAGAAAAAAATCTTGAGAGAACAAATAACTGTAGAAAGGTTTTGATAGTAAAAAAACAAAAGAAGTCGAATGCTTGGAAAGATGTCATCTATGGCAAGATGTTGGTCCAACACAGCTTAGAAGTTGTCTGCATGACCTCCGACTGAGACCAAAACTGGAACATCGGAATAGTAGCAGTCTTGCTCATCTTCAATTGCTTGACATCTGATAAATTAATTTTGATTTAGTTTTCCTCAAAGATTCTCACCCACACGGGATATGCTCCTGAATATGTGGAAGATCTGGTTCGTTGGTGTAGTAGTTTCCGTTTGGTCCGAAATAAATTCTGCGACAGAGCCAGACGATGCTATCAATGATAGAACGCAAACAACCAAACCTGAAACTGTAATTTTTTTTGAAAATTTCTGAAACACTCACATTTTGAAAGTATGCAAACACCGAATAGAATATACTCGAAAGTACTGAAATTTGTTTCAATTCTCCCTATTTACATTGAATTCTGCCACCATACACTAATTATCATATCCAGCAGATGGGGGCAAAAATAATTTGCATTGAAATTGATTTAAAAACATTTTGCAAAGAGAATTCGGTGGCTGTGATTGAAAAAACATATTTAATAATGTTTCTGAATTATAGCAGCTATATCTGCAAACGGGTGCGAGTAGAAGCTTATTTCTTCTTGATTCGAAACGCGGGCAATAAAATTAAGAAAAAGAAGGGGATAGAGGGAAGAGGGATGTAAAATTGTTCTGGAACATAACACCAGTGAATGCTGCGAGACATTTGAGGTCGTCCAAAAATTTAGATATTTTGAAAAGTTAATCAAGTCCTGGCTATGCTAGAAATATACACATAGCAAAAAAAATATTTTTTTTTTCAATTTGATGCATACTTTTACGCTGAAATAACAACATTACAAGAAACCAGTTGAAACTTTCCAACCGAATATATGTGATTCCTGTAAATTTTCAAAAATCAGGTTGCAAGAAAGAAGAAAAGGCCCATGGCTTGCTTCAAATAATATTGATATATTTGCGATTTTTTAATGTCAACTTTGAAAACTTATGTAAAGTTGGGAGCATTGCAGGAATTCATTCCAGAAAACATCAAACCATTTGCAATAGAGGTTGTTTGCTTTTTTTGCTAGCGCGATAAGTGAAATACAAGGTTTTTTACCTCGCTGAATGTTCCCGTATGTGAGTGCTATGACTTTATGGAGCATGTTTTCATTTTTTTTTCTCTTAACGCTTTGCATTTTTCACGTATTTCTATAAAACCGTGAAGTGAAAATAATTAATTATTCCAGGATTTGACAAAATTTCTTCATAACAAAACTGATATTTTTGAGGTAATCGATCTGTGTCGAAAAAAAAGAAACTTTCGGTTCAACCTAATATCAGTAAGCTGGTGCGCCTTCGGCCTAGTTGCTCATTGGTCCGTCGCTTTGATTCGTGCCTCACTTTTTCTTAAAGGGTCACGTAAATCTATTTTATTGTTTAAGTTTTCAAAAGGAGGCCTGAAAAAGTAGTTCAGATTTCTACATTCTGTGTGAAAAATTTCAGAGCATAATAAACGAAATTTGAGCCTTTGTAATTGACAAGTTTTTCATACAAACCCAATTGAAAGAGATTACTAAACTGGCACAACTCTCCTTTCAGTCCTAATTTTGGCATTTTTGCATTTTCTTTTTGATTTCAAGCTCATATGATTTTGAAGTGTGGCAAAAAAGATTTAATTGTGAAAAAAACTTTCGAGGCTTCAACATGTATTTTTTCTCATTAAAACCGTCAAAATTTGATATTCCTTGGTCCACTATTGTAAATCATTTTTTAAGGGACGTCAGAAATTTGTAGAAAATCGGTTTAACAGATTCTTTTCAATTTGATCCAGTTCCAATTTCATCACTAATCCTGCTATAATTCAGAAACATTTTTAAAAAAGTTTTTTCAATTACAGCCACCGAATTCTCTCTTCAAAATGTTTTTAAATCAATTGCAATGCAAATTATTTTAGCCCCCATCTGCTGGATATGATAATTAGTGTATGGTGGCAGAATTCAATGTAAATAGGGGGAATTGAAACAAATTTCAGTACTTTCGAGTATATTCTATTCGGTGTTTGCATACTTTCAAAATGTGAGTGTTTCAGAAATTTTCAAAAAAAAAATTACAGTTTCAGGTCTGGTTGTTTTCGTTCTATCATTGATAGCATTGTCTGGCTCTACCGCAGAATTTATTTTGGACCAAACGGAACCTACTACACCAACGAACCAGATCTTGCCCATATTCAGGAGCATATCCCTTGCGGGTGAGAATCTATGAGGAAAAACTAAATTAAAATTGATTTATCAGATGTCAAGCAATTGAAGATGAGCAAGACTGCTACTATTCCGATGTCCCAGTTTTGGTCTCATTCAGAGCTCACGCCGATAACTTCTAAGCTATGTTGGACCAACAACTTCCCATAGATGACATCATTTCAAATATCCTGTTTCTTTTGTCTTTATTACTTTTAAAACTTCTCTACAGTTATTTTTTCTTCTTTCACGACTCTTTAAAGTTCAGAGCTCGAGCAAATAAAAATATTGATAGCACCAAGCAATGAAAAAATTGCGACATATTCAAAAATATTGTTTTTATAGAACATCATACAGTTTTCGCAGGAAATTAGGTGAGGTATGTAATAGTCGTCTGTTTACAAACTTCGGAGGAACAACGTTCTCCACTTCGAACATGATTAATGATCGTTCATTTACAGTCATATTCATTACATTCCCAAAAGGCACAACTATTGCGCGGATGTATCGCTACCAGCATAGGAGTTCTACGGTTCTCAAGGCTATATCTGCAAACGGATGCAAATAGAAGCTTCCGCCTCTTGATACGAAGCATGGGCAACGAAAATGTGAAAATGAGGGCGTTGGATTGAAGAGGGATGTAGAACTGTTCTGAAACGGCCTGACCTACTGCTTGTGTAAAGCAGTAGTAAGAGTTTTCAGACTTTTTGGTGGTAGCTTTGATGACTTGACTGCTTGGAGAACAGGAATTCATTCCAGAAAACCTCAAACCTCTTGCAGGGGAGGTTTTTTGCTTTTCCGCTGAATAAGAAAATTCCTTTTTGTATTCAATTTCATTTTTCAGGTATTGGGATTGACCTGCTGACATAGAGATATGATACAAATTTCAACAAAAACTACAGTTCAAATCTTCAATTCAAAATCACAGTCAACTGTTTAGAGATAATTATCATTATTATATTTTTACCTCTGAATTTTTTGGCGAAAAATTCGGGGGGTACAATGATTCGGGGGTACAACGATTCCGGGGTACAATTTTTTTTTGACGAAGTTTCTGAATTCCTGAATTTCAGAGCTTGAAAATCTCAGGATTCGGAATCTGAGAATTTCGGAACTTCAGAGTCTGAGAATCTGAAAATTTCGGAACTTCAGAATCTGAGAATCTGAGAATTTCCGAATTTCAGAACTTCGAAATCTCAGAATTTCAGAACTTCAGAATTCTTAGAATTTCAGAACTTTGGAATTCCAGGATTCGCAATCTGAGAACACCGTAACTTCAGAATCTGAGAATCTGAGAATTTCGGATCTTCAGAATCTGAGAATGCTAAAACTTCAAAATCTCAGAACTTCGGAACTTCAAAGCTTCAGGACTTCAGAATCTCAATATTTCAAGAAAGACAATGGAGAACTGTGAAATGATTCTAACAAATTTTACAAACGGATTTTAATGCCAGTCGATACTTTCCTCACTTCTAATTTTTCTCAATTTTATTTCCTAATTCTTTTTCATTTCCTTTTGTTTCTCAATATTCCTTCGTATTTTTCCCAATTTTCCGTTTTTCCCAATTTTTCTTTATTTTCTCAATTTTTGCGGTAATTTGAATTGTTCTCATTTTTAAATGATTTTCTAGATCATTGATTGAAGGAAACAATCACAATTTAGATATTTCCCACAAAATTCGAAAATCCCAAAAATTGGCCCAAAATGAGCTATTTTGTTTCGAAAATCGTTCGAACAGGCAATAAAACATTTCAAAAACTATAAAATTAATTTTTTTCGATAAATTACCACAAAAATTTGAGCAAAAATGATGAAAAGCGAAGGAAAACGGAGAAAAATGGGAATTGCGATAAGATCTCAATTTCGCGAAATTTTCCCATGAAAGAGAAAACCCCGCAGCTCGGCCACGGCAATGACGTCATCGCTCGCAAATTTTATTTTTGGGATTTTCTCCGCTTTCCTTCTTTTTTCATCATTTTCGCACAAATTTTCGTGGTAATTGGTCGAAAAAAATTAATTTTATAATTTTTGTAATGTTTTATTGCCCGTTCGAACAATTTTCGATAAAAAATTCATCAGCTCATTTTGGGCGAATTTTCGGGATTTTCGAATTTTGTGGGAAATAGCTAAATTGTGATTGTTTCCTTCAATCAATGATATAGAAAATTGTTTATAAAGGAGAAAAATTTAAATTACCGCGAAAATTGAGGAAAATTGAAAAAAATTGGAAAATTGAGAAAAATTGGGAAAAAACGAAGGAATATTGAGAAACAAAGGGAAATGAAATAGAATTGAAAAAACAAGGAATTGAGAAAAATTGGCATTCAAAAAACACAAAGGGACCCTTATGTGATTTTTTTCTATCAAAAATTTTTTTTCGAGCTTTTTTTATATTTTTTGATCAAACAGACAAACAATCCAAAAAGCAAAAAAAATATAGAAAATTGTATTGAGAGCTCAAAATTCGGCTCAAAATGACAAAATTTTTGCTACCGGGCCTTCCGGGCCGGGCCCGGGCCTTGAAATTTTCCTCATGCCCGGGCTTTTCTGAGATTCTTAAATTTGGAAATTCTCAGATTCTGAAGTTCCGAAATTTTCAGATTCCGAATCCTGGAATTCTAAGAATTCTGAAGACAATGAAAAAAAGTTCTGCCGTAATTATTGAAAATTCAGAAATATTGAGATTCTGATGTTCTGAAATTTTGAAGTTCCGAAGTTCTAAGATTCTGAGATTTTGGAGTTCTGAAATTCTGAGTTTCTGAGATTCTCAGATTCTGAAGTTCCGAAATTTTCCGATTCCTAAATACTGAAATTCCAAAGTTCTGAAATTCTAAAAATTCAGAGATTTTCAAGCTCTGAAATTCAGGAATTCAGAAACTTCGTCAAAAAAATCATTGGTAGATTGTACCCCCGAATCGTTGTACCCCCGAATTTTTGTACCCACGAATTTTGTACCCCCGAATCACCAATTTTGTACCCCTAAATCAGTTGTTCCCCCTTTTACCCTCGATTCATTGTACCCCCCAAATTTTTGGCCAATTTTTTTCAACTTTTTTTTTCAGAGAGCCACACTGCGAAGTCAAACTTCTGAAACCACGAATCTTCCCATCATGATTTCCTTATTTTTTATGTCCCAAATTTTTGTTATAAATCTCATAGTCTTTTAACCCAACACTCTTGTTTCGAAATATAATTTTCATTTCATAGGAATCGAATAAAAATTTTGATAAAATTTTTTTCAGACCAGCTAAATGACTAATGTTTTTTTTTGCCTCTGAACCATTCAAAATTCTGTAGATCATTCGTTTTTTCTGATCTCTCATTTCTTTTTTTATTTTTTGATTTTTTTTCTTATCTTTTCTATTCAATGAAGCTCGACTTTCGAAATAGACGGAACGTTGATTGAATACCGTAAACCCTGTATAAGGAAAGTCCTTCTAATAGAAAGGCTTTCCGAGAGCGACTAGGAAAAATAGAAGGGTCCTTTTCAAAATGTCTTGTTTTATCAGTGAACAAATTCCGAAATTTCACAATTTCAATTTGTCGAAACAAACTTTTTCGCTAAAAAATTTTGCTTTAATTTGCAAAATTAATAAATGGGATTGAAGGTCCTGTTATTAAAGCGCCCTCTGGAGGTATATGAAATAACAGAAAAACCGGCTCTTTAAATACAGGTTCACGGTAAGTCGAAAATAATATCAGAAATTTGAAAAACCTATCCGGAATCAGTTAATTAGCAAAACTAGAATAATTAGCAGCTGTTTTTCAAAATAGCTGTCTCAAAAAATGATTTTTTTGAAATTAAATAGAGTGGTTCTCAACATTCATATTTTCAGCAAAAAAAAGCAATATCATCTGAATATTTTGACGTTCTTACGCTGCCAAAAATAGTCAATTTTTGAATTTTTTCAGATAAATCTTGCTCCTCGAGTTCTTTCGATAACGAATATTTGCAATTTCAATTTTTCCGGTGGTTCCCATCTAATGTTCTCATGTAAAAGTTTCTTGGCCAAACCAAATTCTACTCATTGATCATTTCTCCGCCTTTTTTTGATCGGAAGCTCGGCGTCTCTCAAAATTCTACTATTGTTTCAAATCTTTCTCGCGGATATTCTGACTCATCAAATTTGTGTCATCATTAATTGCACCGTTTTTTTCCTTTTTATTTATGGTTTTCCATTTTTCCCCCCATCAGTCTCTTATCATTTTTTTTCTCAATTCAAATCTTTCCAGAAGTCAGCTCTTCTTGGCTCATCGTCTTCGATGGAATCTTCTTCATCTCCAAGAACGTCTTCAGTGCTTCCAAACAAAAAATCTGTAAGTCATTCCGTCGATTAGTTCCCTTTAAGTTGGGCAGCTACTTCGCGATCAAGCCTTTGAATTTGACCGAATTCGTTTGACAAAATTCGACAAAATTTGACAAAATTCGTTAACTTAGAGTCTTGACAAAAGTAGCCCACATTTACCGAGTAGTTTGATTCTAATTGTGAATTTGAATGGAATTACTTGGAATTTGGCCTAATCCTTTCTTATACATCGCTTTTTTCCAGAACATGAATCACGACGGAAAGGCTCGGCCCACCGGAGCACCGCCACCACTTCCGGCAGCTTCATCCCTTCCGACGTCATCCCCTTTGCCATCAAGCAGTATTCCTTCTCCACCCGGACCCCCACCTCCATCGCTCGCCAAGCCATCTGAAGATCCATTGAAATGTCTGAAAGCTCGAAAGAAAGGAAGGACAAGCTCCTGTGTTGGAAATTCAAACTCGGGCAGTGCTCAAGACAATTTGCTAATGGAGCTCCAAGAACGCTTCAAGGGAAGAAGAAAGCTCTCTACAACCGACGAGGAGGAAGAACAAGATGACGAAAAAGCTGGTCGATCAAAACAAGAAGAGGTTTCACAATCCGGTCACCTGGACCCAGAAGTTTCACCACAATTGCCCACAATTGAAGTGGTACCGGGAACAATCCCAACTCCGCCTCCTCCTCCACCTCCCCAAGATCTTCTAAAAACTCAAAAGATTCCGGTTTTGATGTCGTATAGGTTGTCAACTCCCGTCACTTTTCTATCGTCCAAGGCATCTTCTTCTCAAGCTGACGTTATGGCAGAGCTAAAGGAAAAAATGGCGAAGAGAAAATCGATGGCACAAGAATCGCCATCATGTTCATCAACGTCGACGTCAGCTCCGAATGGCTCTTCAACTTCCCCAATATCTGATCCAACGTCTCAAAGAGTTTACAAGAGAACGGCGGTGGCCAAGCTCCAGCTTCCACCGGTGCCATCACCCTCTACAAAGCCAAAGCTGATCTCGTCTGATTCATCAGAAAAAAAGGAGGTTGACAAACATCCGGAGCAAACGGTGAAGGCTCGGGATTCGAAATTTCACACGGTCCCTGCCGAACGAAATCGAAGGTTAACGATGCCACTTCTCGCTTCTCACTCAACAAACACGGAGAAATTGGTGAAGAAAACAAATGAAGAAGAAGGAAAATCTGTACCGACTCAGAGAAGTTTTAAGGACACCCTGGTAATGTGGAATAACAAAGCAGAGGTAATATGTTTTCTAAAATCGACTGTGTCATTAACTCTTTTCTTTCAGAAAACCAAACCATTTGACCAGTCCCGGTTTTCGTTAGTTCTAAACCGGAGAGAAACATCTCGGAGACCAGATTCGACGGCCAGGACCACAACTGGAGAGCAAGGCAAGACAGCGAAGGAAGCAGTGACAACAAGAAATGAGAGCTGAAATTTGTTTCGATATCCATATGATTTTTTTCGCTTTTCACAACGAGTAGAGTACCTATTTTTTACCATTCATTTTATATCCTGAAAAACACTAATAGTTATATAATAAAATCTGTATTATCTTCCTTTTTACATGAATATTTCAAATGTTTCAGGACGTTTGCAGTCTTTACAGGACTCCTGCAGACTTTTTCAACTGGATTTTCCCAGTGAATTTTTTTTTAAATTTCTGGTATACTTAAGAAGAAAGGTCTCATGTTGGGGCTGTCGATCCCGAAAAAATCTGATCGATCATTGCAGCTGTCTCAACATTATGACAATGATATTAATTTTTGGGACCGATATCATGGGACCGACGGTACCAGCTTGGGACCACTTTTCCTCGATAAATCCGGGATATCAATGAGACGGTTATTTATATAATGAGAAATAAAAAGTACCTTTCAATTATCCAATTTGAAGTTGCATATCTTCTAATTTCAAATTCTCTTCATTCTCTTTGTTTTTCAGCCAAACAATCACTTTCAAGTTACTCTGTAAGCAAAACACGTTTAACGGAGAGTATCATATTGTTCAGACAAAGAACTAACCGTCAATTCTTGAGATCAATTCAATCCTGGACACTGTACTGCAGATGGCGTCATCCAGAAGCCGAAAAAACTGGGGAATACTGCACTTTCTTCTCAACGAGTACATGGTTATATTTCACGAATACATCAGAATCATTGCTGAATTGTGCCATTGTATCTTCCCCAATCAAACGAAACTGATGAAAGCAGATTTCGTAGATCCAAAAATAATTCATTGCAACCAAAAAGGAATCGATGAGTTCTTGATGTAGAACATGGATCTCGTTGTGATCACATCCCTGACATGGTTGAGGTATGGTTTTTCTCTTTGTCTGAAAACATTCTCCTTCTTATCGCCAGGTTTGCTTCGATAGTGGTGACACTCTCAGTAACATCGAATTTTCTTTCTTTAGATGTTTGTAGATATTTGTGACTTTGTTCCTATCGTGCTATGCGAGACGTTCAGACAAGACTGTAGTTTCCAGATGCATACGTTGAAAGTGGAAATCCATTCTTGTCAGATGGGATTTCACTGGCATCAATAGAAATCGGTTTACCGTCATGCCTGAAGCAGCTCCGGAAGCATCAGCTGATTCCACCTGATCCATGCACTGCTTGAATTGGTTTGACGGTACTTGTTTCGTCCGACACTATTTGTGGGTAGACGTGTACCCCGGATGCATCAGTAGGAAGTACCTTGAACGTGGTGGAACGGGGTCAATTTAATTCGGAACAAAGAAAACTCACTTGTTGATTTGATCTTTTGAAAATCCTTTGTTCTTTTTTCGGATGCGTTGCATTGATTTTAACTTGTCGTTCCTGCTCCTCACGGATTTGTTTCTGCTCAGCGATGTGGGTTTTTCCGTCTTGTCGCTTCTCAACTTCACGAACAAGACGTTCCTGGTGCTCTCTAGGCTCACCTTCCCTGTCTGTTGACGTACGAGCTAATGATACATTTTCTCCTTCATGACATGTGGGCATGGCCTTCTGAAGTGACAACAGCAGCCGAACGATGGGTCACAACAGTAGTCGGGATCAGGAAATTCTAGTTGGTTCCAGAAAGCTGAGAATCTTCTTTTTTTTTTTTGAAAAACTGCTTTGGAAAAACTTACTCATGCTCCTGGAGCACGTATTATTGGATTCATGGAGCCCAATCCAGGATTCATTTTTTATCATGGTATTGTTGTCGCACCATCGGTTGTACTACAAATACCATGTTGTTCAATTGGAGCAAGAGCTGGAGAAATATTCCAAGCGTCGGCAGTTTTTTTGAACCAGCTTTGGTAGTTGCAGAATCTTAGCAACAGCAGTAGGCGTTGGCATAATAGTTAGTTTGTTGTGTTGGCACTTTGAGCATCGTCAATGGTGTAGTTGTCGGACCAGCTGATCTAGAATAACAGATTTCACAATTGGAGAAAGAGTAGGAGCAACATTTCAAGCTGTGGCAGCCGTGGTGACTGAAAATTCATTGTTTATAGATACCATTTTTTCATTTCCACATAAACTTACGGCTTTTTCATTTTTGGTGATTGAAATGCAACAATGTTGGCCTTCTCATTATTAGATTAATTTTTTTTCTGGGACTGATTGGCACGAATGTCAGTATGATAATTACTTGAACCTCCACAAGATGAGTTCCCGGCCTTGGTAGTTGCAAAAGTCTAGGTTGCCGGAGCTTCGTTTCCTTCTACTACCTTTTCTACGTGTTATTGATATTTTGCGGGAAACTGGAGAAGCTGAAAACTTGAAATTTTCCCATACTTGCGGACGGGTCCAAATTCAAAACGAGATAAAAAATCAATCTGGGGAACTACATTTGAATGGTCCCTCAAAAACGAATTTTCATGAAGGCGGCTCTATATGGATGATTTTTCATTGTGGGATGGTTGTGGGATGAAAAACCAGTCGTTGTCGGATCTATCTCAAATTTTATTGAACCCTAAAATAAACTAATTGTTATTGTTCTTCTATTTTCTCGAGATATTTTCTCAGGTAATGTTGTTATTGAGCAGTGATTGTGATAAGGCTTCTGCAATTCACCACATTCGTTTTTTTTTTCATTTTTCACGACTTCCAATTTTTCCATCATCATCACTCGAAACAAAAGATGGAATCACGAATGGTATAGGATTCATTGCTCGCCAAAATTTAT